TTAGCTTCCTCCTTTCTCCAACAGAAAGTTCTGTCTTTTATGAGAGTACCACTTTCGATATCTCACGAAACAAATCATACACCTAGATTTTGTGCACTGATACAAGAGTAAATAGAAGGCTTTGCGTTACCGATGTCGCTGTTGTCCCAAAATTCCACATGGGTGCACACCGTCGCCTCGTTCGTGCAAGATTTCATTTCTCGTGGAATGAGAAAAGACCGCTGAATTTAAAACCGTCACAAATTGGGATTTATTTCAGTCCTTCGTCGGCTGTTAGGAGGATGCCTCGATAACATCGACGAGGAATTCAGTTCATTTATCTTCAACCAAGCGCCATGAGAGCTGAGAGCTGGAAAGTTACCAACAGACGTCTATCTCCAGAAACACTCGAGCTGATAAGACAGCGTGGAATCGCATGAGGTGCAAGTAATCGTCGATTCACAGTTGTTACTTGGATCTCTTCAATAGCTATTTCTTCGTTTCCTCATGTGAAACATGGATATGTCGAACCACTGGTTCTCCATTCCTAAATCTGATATGCTATTTCGTCATTGAAAAATCGAACAACACCAGGTCTTGACAGGATAAGATCTGAACACCTGAACCTTCCACCTAGTCCTCATAAACACTATGGCTCGGCTGTTCACACCTTACCTGTCTGAATGCAAGATCTCCACTCAGTGGAAGACCAGCAAGACCGTGTTATTGTTCAAGAAGAGTGACCTGTACGATATCGGCAACTATCGCCCAATCTGCTTACTGTCTATAGTCTACAAACTTTTCACTCGAATAATCCTAAAGAGGGTTGACAGAACATTGGACGAAGGACAGCCATGTGAGCAAGCAAGGTTTCGAAAACGATTTAGTACGATGGACCACATCGGCACGATAACAAGGCTCACTGAAGTATCGCGAGAGTGCAGAAAACCGCTCTGTCTCACTTTCATCGATTCACAGAACGCCTTTGATTCAGTTGAGATAGAAGCAGTCTTGGAAACCCTAGATAGTCAAGGAGTCCCTACTCAGTGCATAAAGATTCTTCGTGAGCCCTACAAAAATTTCACAACCAAGATATCACCATTATACAACGATATTAACACTGACGTCAAAAGAGTGGTTAGACAAGGCGATACCATCTCGACGTCACACGAACATTGGAATGAAATAACATGGGAGTGAAAATCAATTGTCCGCAGTTATAGCATCTGCGTTTTGCTGCCCGACTAAAGCCTCACAAAAACGATGTTCATGAGGAACGGATTGGTTTCGAATGCCCCATTCACGCTCAACGGAACGTATATCTCTGAATGCTCCAGTTATATCTGTTTAGGTTGGAAAATCAATATGATGAACGACCTAGCTCCAGAGTTGAGTAGAAGGAAACGAGTGAATTAGGGAGCTTTCATGGGCATCGACGATGTAGTGAAGGGAACAAAGAACACCCGATTCATGCCCGCCTTTTCGACTCGGTGGTACTTTCTGCCTTGACGTATGTGTCAGAAACTCGTGGCTGCGCAAGCAACATGATTGGTAACTCATCTTTAGTTAACGATCAGTTCAAAAGACGATGCTATGAGTTTCACGTGTGACACGGGCGAGAGAAGGGATCTAAAGCTCCAGTCTGCGTCATCGATTAATAGTCAATGATTCGGTTCTATATTCTAAACTGTCGAAGATAAGGTGGATGGGTCACTTAATGCATACGAACGTCAACCGATAGGCCAGAGCTATTATTGCCTAGATTCCTCGGGAGGTCAATCATACTGCAACAAAAGCACCAACCTGATGATAAGAATTCATCACGAAAAACCTAGAAGAAGCGTGTTATCCTTGCTGAGTCTCTAAAACTAGCATGGCCCACTGGACTACTCTTAGGCGCAACAGCAAAAGATTGAAGTTTTAATGGCTCCCGTTCGATGCACTCAACAATCAACAGGACTACAAATGATACAGTCGATACAGGTGCTGCAACAACTCTTCGGTTTGATGTTATCTCCAGTTACAGTTATGTGCTGGAGAGTTGTGATCTCATCAATAAATCATTTCAATGGATCCTACGAGAATTATTATTCCGATAATATTAAGTGCCTTAAAGATAGAATAACTGCTGGAGGTTCTCGTGTATGATGCTGATGGAGCTTTCTAAGTAACGTGGTTTCTAAGTAGCTTTAATATTAATCGGAACTATAATGAGATATACAACTTTAGGTGATTCTTTCTTTGGTGCTAGAAATCATACATGTGGCAGGAGAACGCGTGAACGAAATGGCAACTGCAGCCACCGAAAACGTTCATTTAGTAAAGAAAGTGCTGAAAAAGTGCTTTTGATATACTACAGAGGGTAGTGCTATCTGTCAATAAAGGGAGTCACCGTAGCCGATGACGAAGATTTGTTGTGAAAACAAAGCGTTATTTAAAAAATGTCTGCAGCTCATGACAAAGCATAGAGCTCTATAGAAGGAAAAAGCTCAAGGCGTTGATTAATCGCATAGGGATGTGCCGTGAATTCGGCTTCATTATGCATCGCTGGAGGTGATTGAATGCATATTTGGCCTTTACAATGGCTCCCGGTGCCCAACTGCTGTATTGAGCCAGTGCTGCTATCCGCCCAGACAGATCTAAAACCAATTTACCGACTCCGGAGGGATGGAAGTCTTAGTGAGCCTTGGGCGTGGCGATCGATCCCATGTGTGTTGCAGCACCTCCGACCACTGCTCTACAGGCTCGGATGGAGCTATGTAGAATTAAGAAAGGTGCTTTCGCTAACGAGACCTCCTTAGTCATCATTGAAGGTAAAGCCCCATGCACTAGGTTTATATTCCGAAAAGCAAGTGTCATCCTACGTATCAGTACAATTATCGAGTAACATCATATATGGCATACCGCATTTCATATATGTCTCTTTCGGAGCATGTCTCGCTTCTGTTCTCTAGGATTGAATTTACCTATTTTATAATATCATAAAAGATGCGCAATGCAGTACGAAGGGGTGCTCTGTAGCACACACGCGACACCTAGTTCGATGCCCACTAAGCAAACTAAATTCTCTATCCTCTGGGATCCGTGGATTCATACTAGTCTGGGAGGATAAAAGCACTGACTATGATAGATGCACAAACTATGTGAAGTCGTTATCTGTGCAGAATATTTGTTGATTCTCTTTTACGATGCACAGTGAAGCCGTTTGCGTGTTGCACCACTGAGGGACCGATCAACACCGAGCGCTCCATTTATGCTCTCCGTTTTATGAAGTCATAAACCTATCATGCTGTGAGCGAAAGAATTCATTGGCGGGCGAGTATAACAACGGGGCATGGAAAGAGGCAGAAAACGTAAACGACAGGAAAAAAACCATTTCGTTTCCTTAAGACCATTTTATGTGGCCACATTCTCGAAACCTACAAACGTTACGAATGGAAGTAACCGTGCAGGTTTGTTTCACATAAAAACAAATCGTTACTTCCTTGCTCTTTTCCTCTTTATGGTCGCCGCAAGTCTTGTGAGTATGGTAGGCTGCATTTGATGCGATACCGTATCTCCTTCATAGCATTTCCTATGTTTTGAAAAATTTATTTCTATACGAACTAATAAATGACGGTTGTTCGATTAAATTATTCCAAAGCCAGTACAAATCCGAAGAAGGACTTTCTTTTAACTTCGGCACTAGTCAGTAATTTACTGTTTTCTCCATGGGCAAACCCGAGGTTCTTATTATGTACTATTTATTCGCAATAGTTGACGTTTCAGCGGCTTCATCATCTTCGGAGCCTGGAAAGGTCAAATTGGTGAGCAACCTACTTAAGCAATACTTTGGTAACCTCAGCACATTAAACGTAATAGCTAAAATTTCGTCCGCATAAAAAACACTACCTTTTAAACACTCTATTTTGCTCCTCGTCATCCCTTCAGTTCTTTGGTGGAAACTAGCCGTGCAGAGTCCTACATGAGTGAGGAATGTACCTGGCTAAGGTCAAAAAGTCGGCCTGAGATGTCGGGCTAGGTCACACGTGATCACAGGGCTCTCGTCCTTGCTTCTTGCTAATCCGTGAATTTTTGGAATTTATCCAAGATGCTTCAAAAGTTTTATGAGTCCATACTTTCTTCAAAATCTTCTCCGTTATGTCTCAGTGCTCTCTGTGCCCTGGAATGTTTGGTTCAATTTTAATCTTATCTCCTGCGTGCATTTTTATATGGAAACAGTGTGGTCTATCCGCACGGGCCATGTATTTGTCCTCGCAAATTTTACATGAAACCAGATGAACCGTATACCAGCAAACTCAGGCTATCACTTTGTCCACCCTTACGGCATATTATGTAATTTTGTGCTGTGCGTGGTCACGCAGACGGTTCCGAACTAGCTGATGTCTTCGAGTGTTCGGTGGTTCATTGTTGCTGAATTCCCTAGACCGGCCACTTTTAAGCAAAGTTATAAAATGTTTATCAGTTATTTCGATACAGATTTAAGCATTAAGTTTTACCTTGTGAGGTTATGAAACTGTTTGACTGAGTGGTTTGCGTGTCAATTTGACCATTCTAGGGTCAGACGACAGGTTTGTGAATTAATTTGTGAATATTGTTGTGAATTAATAAATGGTGTAATAGCCACATCGTGTTTGCTCTGAAGAAAAACTGTGAATTCCCATCCATTTTTGAAACATTGCGAATTAATGTACAATAGCAAAATGTTTTGTAATTTCAACATTTCTTCTCCCATCTATTTGTTCTTTTTTCAGACTTCATAAATTGGACGATGACCTTTCGTAGAGATGCCGATATTTGGTACCCATACGGTCACTTCCGCGAACTAAAATATAACAGTAGGTTTAGAACTCGTAGGTTCAGAGTGTTGCCTTTACATGGAAAAACCAGAAAAAAAGCTGCGAAAGCCTCAATTACATCTACAGTTTGCTTAAGAATCGATAGACTTCGATGAGATTTGGAAATCCAAGGACAGTGCAAAAACGGCGGCCTGGCTTGCTTCTAACTGTTTCACTACGAATATGCGCACGGATTTCATCGATGCCATGCAGAACAAAGGGTTAAAGGTTCGTTTTTCCATTAATATACGATATATTATGAATTATCTCAATAATAATAAATCCGCTTTATTCTATTTTGGATGGTGCGTGAAGGTTTTGCTGTAGGCGAGATTTAAAGCTTTCCGAAAAAGTCTTAATAACGGTTGTTGGTGGTTTTTCTGTAATAAAAGCAGTTCCAATTTATAGATTGATCGTTATGGAAGGTGTGGATTAGCTCCACCTGAATGCGATGGTGTGGACAAGCAACAGCATCCGTGCGTGGTCGAACTTTTACGGTACGCTAAATTTCAATGACGTACTGAAGCCCAAAAAGTTTGTAAACAAGCCACCTATTTTCTTCGTTAGTGAAACAACGTTTATGTTGTAAAAGCTAAAGAAAAAAAGCTTTCGGCGGGATACGCCATGAATTCGATTTAACCAACGCTAGAGGTGATTGAATGCATATATGGCCTTTACAATAATTCACGGTGGTTTGCAATGTATCGAGCCAGTGCTGCTATCTTTCGAGGTAAGTTTGCTGCCAATTTGCTGACCCCGGAGAGATAGAAGGGTTGGTGAGCCACGAGCGCGGAGGTCGATCCCATATGTGTATTGCAGGGCGCCCCTGACCACTGCGCGACATACGCCTATGTTTATGTTGTAACAAGAAAAATTATATGTATGAATATTAGCGTCTTCAATTTTGCAAGATTTCTACGTATATTTCAGGCCATACAAGTTTTATATTGCACTTGAGAATTCGAACTGCATCGACTACGTGACGGAGAAGTTCTACGAATCCCTAATTAGTCGCATGACGGTGCCGATTGTTCTTAAGCGAAAAACATACGTTGACATTGGAGTGAGAGCTTTTCATTCAGATTTATCTATCTATAAAAATTTTCCAAAGAACAACTCGCTAACTTCCTTCCACCGCCATCGTTAAGGCTCCTCCCACCTCATTCATTGCCCTCGACGACTTCGAGACACTCGACGATATGATCAAATTCGTAAATGAGGTGGCGATCGACAAAGAGAGATACCTTACCTTCCATAGTTGGAGGTCGAGTGTTGAGTAAGTGACTTGTTCAGAAAAAAAAAGCCAACACCAAAGAACTTCTAAGCGCAAAAGTTAGACCTCAGGTCACACTTCCTATTGACTTTCCTATTGTTAAATAAGCTAATGTTTTCTTCTTGAGTAAATACAAAGCTGTCCACAGCAAGATTTATTCAGTCACGGCTGAGGCACTTAGGCGGTTTCGCCTTCGTCAAAGCCTGGAAAGGTCAAATTGACTGGCAGTGTGCTCAACCAAACTTTTTCATTACCTCAGCAGAAGGAGCTCAATACATAAATTCCATTAGATAGATAATTCATTTAGAAAGTTCGCAGCGCTCATTTTATTCCTGCCACTAACACCGTAGGTCCTTCAATATACTTCGTTGTTTTACGCTGATATCATTGCAAAGAACAACGTCTTCCCTGCGACGATTCCTGCAAATGCTCCTAAGACGTATGTTTAACAAAGTCACTGTTTCGCCTAGCTTGCTTCCTGGTACTAGTTTGGGGCTCAGCCCATATGGAAGTTTGATGAAAAGTGGTGCGAAAAATGTCGTTAAACTGCTACATTTCGGTATGTTATGCTAAATGAATCAATCGATATTGGTAACGACATTCTCTACTGTACCGTCAGCCCATTTTGTAAAAAGCAGTGTAGATTCATAAGAGAGCATGAGAATGAAGAGGCTTGAGTTATCTACACATAAATGAGGTAATTGGCTACCAAAGGCCGCCAATTCCATATTTAAAGAAGAGATTGAAGTTTTTTAAAAGCGCTACTTGTCTATCTAATCATGGCAATTCCAAGGCTGTCCAACCAGTAAAAGTCTGATTCTGAAATATAACACGTTTGCTGGGATTCATAAATACCTCTTCAGTGTCTCAACGAACCCAATTCATAGCAAATTCACATCCTCTTATATTTCCTTAGCCAGTATAGTTGTTTTCATACAGTAAATAGAAGGACAAAGGTCTCGGGATTGATCAACCTCTTATGGATGCATCATGCTTCTCAGTAAGCATCGTAAGATGAGAATTGCATAATAGGCCTGTGCAATGACATGCGGTGACCTACCGACGTATCCAAGTCAGTGCATGAGCCGGAGCAAAGGATCAAACCATTGATCACGTGTGTATTCGCACTCATCTTTGTTTGCCAGCGTTATACTACATTATAGTTACTTACTTGCATACTTGGACGGTCCGTCTTCACGAGCCGTGCGGGCCCCAGTACATATGCCATTCGTTCCTTTCTCTCGCAATCGTAGTCCATGGTGGTGGTCTTTTTCGAGCGAGGTAGAGCGTGCGAATCTCATACCGTGATCTGTAAAACAACTGCAGCTGCGGGTACAGTTGATTCACTTTGTTTACGAATACGTCTGTCCAACGTGTAGGTGGTCGTCCTAGGGTACATTTGCATTCTCTTAGAGTCCACTCTACTATTATTTTCATCCATCTGTCGTCTGTTCTTCTCATTATGTGACCGGCCCATCTATGTTTCGCTATCGTTATATATTTTCCTGGATCTCAAAGATGTGACAGATTTCGAAGGTCAAAGCTTCGCATTCCGGCTAAATATTGAGAGTGCCGGTTATATTTCAGAAGACATAGCTCAAGCGCTCTGTGGGTTGTGCGAAGCATTCTTGACGTAGTTGACGTATCAACCCACGTCTCTGCAGCATAACAGAACGCTAGGAGGACCGTAGAATCGAAAAGATGACTACTACACTATACTACCTTATATTCGCACTATATATTATATATTAGTGGTCGGAGACGCGCTGCAATACGCACGCGGTATCCATCCCCGCTCCAACGGCCCACCAAGTCTTCCATTCCTCCGGCGTCGGCAAATTGGTACCAGACTTGTCTGAGAGGATAGCAACACTGGCTCGATACATCGGTAGCCCACAGGGAGTCGTTATAGTGATTAGATATGCATTCAATTACCTCCAAACGATGTTTAGTTAAGTCGAATACATGGCACATCCCTCAGGCATTGATCAACGCCGACAGCTTTATCCTTTTTCATGTTATATTAATATTATCCGCGCCAAACACCAGAATGAGTCAGCTAGCTACCACCGACATTGCCAGCTATCTGAATACATTTGTATTGTGGAAAGTTTACATAGTTACAGAGCCATACCAGAGCATAACGATGAGACTGGATTCTGTGAACTATGCCGTCGACTTCAGATGAATTCACTAGGTTACACGAGCTATCCAGATGTTCGTCAGTGGCATGCCAATAATCAGTGCGATAATTACTACGGAAATCATTATCTCAAAAAATGAGATTCGCTCAAGTTATGCATATTTCCTTTTTTTAGGTCGACCATTTCTTTGGCTATTCGGAGTTATTGAGAAAGTTTTCGTGTTCACTTCGTAACATTTCAGGAATGCAATCGATCTTCACCGCATACTCGCTGAAGTCATCGTTCCATTTGATAACAAGTCGTCAGAACTGAGACCGCTACCGCCGTCAGCCAGTCTCTTCGCCTAAATGCTCTTCTTTTTGAGAAATTTAGGAAGTACAGATGAAAATATATCTTCTCTTCACTGTCACTATCGAAGCAATTGCATTTCGTTTAAAAACATGGCTGCTTAGTTCAGTCGTGGATCAGAGATGCTGGCAATTGGTTTACATACTTTGACTCAGATTTTTCTTCTACTAGTGATGACCGTACCATATTCATGGTATTGTGTAGAACAGTTATATACTTGCCAATCTTATACTCATTAAATGACTGCGGCCGGGTCGAACTGAGAACAATGAACAGCTTTCGCGAAGGATTTGCTTGTAGAAACGATCAACGACCTCTTATGAGCGAAATGCTACACATTGTTGTTGACGTTTAGCTTCTAACAATCACTGCCACCAAACGAACTCCAGTTATCTATGCCAGTTAAGCTCTTACTAGAAATGTACAGATACTGATCTTACTCGGGACAGATGGGTGTTAGTTTTTAAAGTGGCCGGTGGAACCAGTTATAACGTTGACTTTCCTTCGACAATTGCTCTGCCCCTCCAGAAATAGTATTTCTCTCTTTTTGGGGAAAAAAAAACTTTATGTCACTGCCATATTGGCTTTAAGCAAATGCTTTAAAGTTTTTTCAACTATGATAGGGTTTGAAAAGACCGAATTGCTTTCGACTATTATTAAGCGGTTCATGATATGGTTTCTTTTTCCATTTTCACGCTTCAGATACCTTCTGCGTTATTTTCTTCTTAGGTTTGACAGCGAATCTTTAGCTTTATTAATTCTTATTCTTCATTGACGATTGATTTGCAGTACAAATGTTTTCTCCACTCGAAAAAAGCTTCATTGACCATTCCACCACAGGTTCTTCCCACTTGGACTACTCATTGTAATGACACTCTTGTTTCACTGTGTTCACAAAATACCTACCGATTGTTTAATAATCGCCAACTTTCTGCTAACCTCGACATTGATCAATAAGTATATGTTTTCTAATGAAGTGAATACAAGATTGTTAATGAAGTATTTATCCCATAATGGCTAAATTTTTAGCGGATTTTACCATCGCGAGAGCTTGGAATGATCACAGTGATCTCCGACACATTTAGATAACTATTTTTATAACTTTAAAAAAAGTTTTTCAACGAGGTAAGCATGGCGATAAAGCGTGGTTTCAAAAGAGCCAATATAGAGAAGTCGAATAGATAGAACTTTGATTCAACTACCATCGAACACTCTACGTCGTCAGATAGCTCTCAATCACCCTATATGAAAATCCACAGATGAAAATTGGATAATTTGTCCTAATGCTAGAGACGGTGATTGTGTGAGTTCCGGAGCGGAGTACTTGATCTGTTAAAGAGCGTGCGAAGGCGAAAACATCGGCTATGCAGTTAGAACACACTACGTGTCCTCAAAAAACTACTAGTCGGTAAATTTTTAGTCAAACAATGTACTCCACTAGGCATGCATAGAAAGTAGACGCATAATGAAGGAGATTTTGAAAGGAAAACTACTGTCCTCGCGAGAGAATCTGGAAAATCAACGCAAAAGTCTCTTTAGATGGTTTAAAAAAACTCCAAAATCCAAAGATGAACCACATGGAAGAGCGCCTTTTGATAACGCGTGACCTCGCTCCATACCTAGGGGCTAATTTCTTGACAGACACGAGAGAGGCTTCTCACCCATGCATACTCTCTGTTTGTCTTCTGTCCCGCTAAGTACCTAAAAACGACGAGTGTTTAAAAGGATGCTTTTCGCCAGAGAAATTACAGTTCTTCTGATAGGGCTGCAAAATTATAGACCTTTTTCATGCTCTGAAGAAAGCGAAGTCCTTTGGGACGTCGAGGTCAGTGCGAAATAGACAGCGTGTGTTAATAGCCTCGTATTTGCTTATCAAGGAAAGACAAGTTTACGATTATAGATCGTTTGCTTTTTCATAATCGGATAGGGTTTTATGAGCTCTACATGAAATGGTTTCTGATTATTTAGTCAGCGAAAAGCCTTATTTACATTTCGCGGAGCTCGGTCTTTGTAGATACCAGCCAGTTAGCTAGAAGCCTCCAATGCACACGTTTAGTTGACGTACCAAGGTACAATCACCTCGTAGATGAAATGTTGAGTACAGTCTTAGGCTGTTTTTCAGAAACTGACACTTATGACTTTTGATTGGTGGAAGGAATATCGTTTTGTACCACGTTTCCGTTGTTTAGGTACCGGTTGCGCCGCACCTCCATCACCATAGATAATATCATACTGTTCTGTGAGGGAGAAAAGTTCTTTCCAAACATCAAATCGCTCGATACGATTCTTCCTTTTTTCACTTTCAGAAACAGAAATTCGCTACGCATTAGTCGCCGAATGTCAGTCTATTATACAAAAAACTAGTGGTTTGTTCATTTAACTTACACAGCAGACGAAGGTTTCGGTAACTGGTTGAGCATTAAATTTATAAACCAAGCTATTCTAAGAATTGGTCCTCTACACGGCTAATCAGCTAAACCCATTCCTAAGGTATCCTTGTGTAAGGTCGCATGTAGCCTGCATAAACTTCGAGATGGCCTCCGTAACAAGACTCAAATTGGAGCATTAAATAGGAGCGAACAACAAGAATTAGAAACATTACCTCTCACAAATTTCGGATGAGTATCCAATGATGATCTGATCTCTACCGATCTATCATCATTTAAAGTTGGACATATCATTAGCTGTGTAGAAAACCAACAGGATAGAATAGTTTAGTTTATAAATTTAATGCCCAATCAATTACTGAAACACATTCCGGTCCATCTTACGGATATCCAGATATCTTGGACACATACTTAACGCGCGCCCTAACAGCGCCTACATGATGGAGTCCCTCGACGTTACAGCGCTTTATACTAACTGTCGAATGACTTTGCAATGCAAGCCATCCTCGAACACCTTATAAAACACAAAGGAGAAATAAACATATTTGGCTTTGCGATTCAGCAGTAGATAGCCCTTTTAAAGGGCTACCTAAACTGCCCCTCCTTTAGTAGATGGGAAAGTATTTCTCCTAAATGAGAGAGTTGGCAATGGGAGAGCAACTGACACTAGTCTAAGATGGAAGCACCAATAATCGATCTTCGACCATTACTCTTTTGTAGATATATAGGTGACTTTTTCGTTATCTGCTCCACACAAGATGGACCAATGTTTAATTTTTAATCTACTAGCTATTAATTTCTCACGACTCCTAGTACACAAAATTTGTTAGGAACATTTTTCTAACACCTACCATTGCGTGCGCAGGAAGAGAGCAGAAGCAAAAATTCCTAGGATTGGCGCGGCAAATGGCTATTTCCAATGGCTACGAAACTGTAGCTTCTCGTGATAGATGTAGAGAAAAACTGAAAGCCCTTATACGATATCTCTAGCGAGGCTAAGGTTTCGCAGGTCAAGAAATCTCGGTACTAGTGATTGAAATACCACCGGACGCTTTCCTAAGCCAGTTAGTTCACACTCGCCTGTGTGAACGTCTATGTAGAAGGTAAAATTGCACAATATGCCTTAACGGTGCAGACGATGATTGCATGAGCTCGGCTATGGTTTATCTGATTTCTTGTTAAGAGTCTGAAAATAAGTGCTTTGGTCAAACAAGCAGACTACTGTGCGACCGCATAAACGTGCACCTGCACGGTTACCTTAAAGGTAAACTGAATGCTTTATTTGGCATGCATAGGACACAGAGACGTAATGGAAAAGGTTTTGAGCATAGAACTGCACAAAAATCAAAACCTTCAGTTCGTGAAACACTCGAAATATTCTGAATAATTCCCTAGAATCGAAAACAGAACGGCAAGAAAGAAGCACGTTATCATGCGTGATCTCGACACAACACTCACCTGGTTGCTTGGACAGCCCGTATTGACTAGTTGTGCGAGCACCACCACAATCTCCACTTTTTCTTCTTGAAGACTTGCCGGTTGAACCATTGTGGTGTTTCTGGGATCCCGAGGTCATTCTGGCAAAGGTCTGCTATCGGTCATGACCACCACAGGCAGTCGCAGCCGTTGTGGATCAGAGATATAACAATTATTTAGAAATAATTATCTTTGATCAATAACAGCGTATAACAAACTTTACCAAGTAGCACAAGATACCATTCTATAGAGTAGAACGGGCAACATGTCAACACGGTTCAGATCGTGTAAAGACACAATATCTTACTGATATTTTAATGTGAAAGAGTGTCATCTATTCATGTTAACTCTGTATAGTTGAGCTCCACTTAGAATACTAGACCACTGGAATTCTAAATACTGGAAGACTCCAATAAAGCGGTGAGTGCGAGGAAGTACTTTTCTTTTTAATGCTAGTGAAATTTTGGTTTCGTTGTTTTCCCGTAAGGTTTATGGAAGTGTCCGACAGACTGGAATGCAGTCAACTTGACTTTTAAAGGCTCTGAATAAGGCGAAATTCGCAGGAACGTCAGCTTTTTGCTGTGAATAGAAGGTAGGGTAACAACGCTGTCTTGCTTAGCAAAAAATCGAGATATAAACACAGAACTGTTCTTTCCCACACCGGTTTACCACCTCGTCATGGCTGGGAGGTGTTCCTAAGTGCCAGGTTGCGAGGTACAGCAGGGGGATTCATCACCCCAGCAAGGTCTCCCTAGCTGAAAACGAGTCCGGCGTTTTCATCAGGAACGCTAGCTAGATGTGCTAGATGTAAACCAATACAAGCATCTACCACTGTCATGGTAAAAAATTACTTTCATTGTGGCCAATCGCCTTCAGATCCACAAGGGCGCTAACTGCCTGGGGTGGTGACGACCTCAGGCTGACTTTGGCTACGCCGACTTCGAGACTCCAAGGAACCACAAATGCTAAAGCAGCAAAATTTCGAAAAAATAGGGATTATGTCAAGGCGCGTAAAACCAGTAAACTCAGGTCATCAAATTATCCTAGGAAGTGCTGCTTTCCTTCCGGAGAAGTCTGGTACCGAATTGAGGATCACGAAAGGCTGGAAGAACTTGGCAAGCCCAATGTCTGGGAACAAAGCAATGTCCAAATGTGTACTGCTTGGTACGTCCGATCACTACGTTGCACAACATGTGGAAACGATTACGTTGCGAAACGGGTACACCACTCTGCATCCGTATAAGGGAGCATCTAGATGGCAAGCTTAGAGCTGTACAAAATACTCCACAAAGCGTGAAGAGAACGCGTAGACAATATGGAGATGAATTTGAAGTCGAAGTTATGGTCTTCGAAAAGTTTTCTAAAACATCAGTGCGTAAAAGTCTTGAAGCTTTTTGGATGGAGTCTAAAAGCACTTAAGAACAACGGATCGGTTAATGCTTAACAGAAGCTGTTCACTATACGAATAATTATTTATGTTTTTAACTTATTATTTACTGCCTGCTCTTTTTAACGGCAGGGTATACATTGTTAAATATAACGTTAATGATGCTGAGATATTTGCAAAACTCCGGACCGCAGGTGTATGCGGTGGGGAACGAACGTGCTATTGTCCTTTCCAGGAAGTACCGCGTCCACCACCACACCACGCGGGTCCTTCGTTTCGCCTGTCTTTCAGCTAGGCTCCCCAAATCAATCCCGCTGACGGGTGATTGCTGTGGCAAAGATCGATAGAAATAGCTGAGAGACAGGCGAAACGAAGGACCCGCGTGGTGTGGTGGTGAACGCGTTACTCCCCGGAAAGGACAATAGCGCGTTCGTTCCCCACCATAGACACCTGCGGTCCAGAGTTTTGCAAATATCTCAGCAATTTTGTGGTTGTATTTCGCTTAGTACCCTGCCGCGAAATTATAGTAGGCAAAAAATAAAAAGGTTTAACAAAGTTTTCTGTTAAAAACTACCATCAAGAAGACAGGGTATTTATTCAACTGTCTAACGTTTAACTTGGGGCGGGGATAGAGCAATTGTTAGTGATGGCGTCGATTAGGAAGCAAGAGGCGCTAATTCGAACCTCGCCCCAACCAAAGCTCTCCCTCACTCTGTGTGGGAACGCCTTCTCACAACTGTCTCCAAGAATGCAGGGAGAATTAACTCGATTAGTATTCCACTACATTCATGAACAAGAAGAAATCCTCAAGCAAGCAGCAACCAAAACAACACACTGCGAAGAAAACGAATAGAACGTAAGAAGTGCTGAAATCCACAAAATAGATGTAATGACAGGGACAGATAGAACTGTGGTAGTGATGCCAATCATCACGAGCACGGTGCTGGTTTGCTCCCGGTCCAGGCTCACCAGGCCCCTCAACCCCTTGCGGTGGTGAAATTGATATCGCACCTGTCCGGAAAAAAATCGCTCCCTACAATCTAATTGGGAATGCTCCAGCCAGTCTATCTCAGGACTCCGGGAAGAATCGACTCAACCAGCACCCTGCGGCACTCACGATGAAATGAAAATCGTCAAGTAGCACCCGAAGACACACGTAAACGCTGGAAGATCTTCGTGGATGATGGATTTGAGGAAAAGAATCAAATCTGAGAAGAGTTGGGACCCGCACAGTAGACGTGGAGACGGTTAATATAAAATTAAAGAAAAATAAAACAAAAGATGTGATGACGTGTCATGTGAAGAAAATTGGCTGACAGCCTACTATATTTCCATGGCAGCCATGATAAGCAACTGGCATAAATAAAAAGTTGAATACTCTGATTTTGAATGCAGCTTCAGCTTAACTGAGTTCAATGCCGAATCATCCTTCCCAGATCACTTCTCTTGACCACTGATTGCTGATTGCACCGTTAGGGCAGAAAAAAACCGAGAGAAAGGCAGCGTAAGGGCCTCATTAGTGCAGTGGATGATATGCGAACCTAGTTCCTGGGAGAGGTAATCGTAGGTTCGAAGCACAGCTTTGGTTTCCGGTTTTGCAACTATCTTAGCATCACTGTTCTTTCTATCGTTTTATTCGTTTCCGAATCTGATGTACAACTCGTTATAGAAACACGTGTGAGATGATCTTATAGAAAACATTTTCAGCAGAGGAGTTCTTGCACAAAAGGTCAATTTCTGAGTTCGAAGTAGATATTGCCCTCGAATTCCGAACATCTGCTTCATTCGCCTTCAGGTAACCTTACAAAAAATAGTTGGTAATGTATGGAAAACAGTACAACAGAGCGTGACAAACGATTATTGCAAGTTTTGAAATTCAAATGATGCGAAAACGGGATGGGGCGAATTGACGCGACCATGTCAACAAAATGTTGATCACACCACCCAATCCTCGCCAAAATATCAGAAGTCTATCTATGTTTTCTGTTGATGATCCATCTGCGGTGTCTTTTCAGTGATGACAAATGGGAATCGCAATGATGACAACCACAACACACTTATCAAGAAGCTCATGGATATTCTTCTATGCAGGTTAATGTACTCCTAAGGTATTAAAAATTCTCTATGAAAAACATAAACAGGTATATACGCATATATGTATATATACTATAATAATAATCAATAGTTGATCCATTTTTACAAACCTTATATGTCATTATTGCTTTCTGCCTGTTGATGAACTGTTAATTCCTTCAGTCTCATCCATCGTACTCCATTCTTTTGAACCTTCATTTGTACACTTCTCCACAGTTGTTTAAAGATGCTACTCCTGTCTTTATTTGCTGGTGATTTTTCCAAACATCTACCTTCTAAAAACCGATTCGCTGAATCTGGCTTGTCATTAAAGCTCGAAAAAGCTTTCGGCGTTGATCAGTCCTTGAGGGATGCACCATGCATTCGACTTCATTAAGTACCGTTTGAGGTGATTGAATGCATATCTGACCTTTACAATGACTCGCGGTGGCCTACCGATGTAGACTAGTGCTGCTATTTTCCCAGACAAGTCTGGTACCAATTTTCCGACCCCAGAAGAACAGAAGGCTTGGTGGGGCATGAGCGCGGGGATCGATTCCACGTGTGTGTCGCAGTGACGCGTCCAACCACTGCACCACACGCACCCGCAGCTTGTCATTAAGTGCATTTATTGCCATGTTGTATTGAAAAGCTTATCTTCAGATCGTAGATTTGTTTGGTTAAAGGGATATAAGTCTATCCTTCCCAATTAGAGGTTGACGGTCGCTTATCTAAATTTCTGTATCTTCACGGTTTTATCTAATTTATTTTGGCTGTGCACCGCGATGATTACCGTATTACGCATCTTAAGAGTTGATGCTAAAACTACATTGAAAAACTACGATTTCGAGAAGGATTATTCTGCACGTATAACGCTGAAGCCATAATTAGATCTACAGACGTGTGCCAGGTGTATCACCTTCTGCTTTCCTTTAGCGAACTCGGCCGCGTGGCAGGCTGCCATTCCGCACCTGCTCAGTGGTTCACAGAGGTTTTTACCGCATCTTTTGTATTCTGTGGATGAAGTGTCAAACGTAGATCCAATATCAGGAGAGGCTCCTAAAACGTTACTCCCCACATTTAATGTTTTGCCTCTCTTTTGGATGAGACCATTTTTTGCACAGAGATCATAGCTGTTGAAAAGAATGTGCCATTGTAGACAGGTTAGCCAGTGAACAGGAACAGAGATACTTCTGCTTAAACACTGAAATTTGACACCTACAGAAAGCTTTTTGTTAGGATAAGATGTTCATAAGACCAACAAGGAGATTTCCTCAAAGCAGCTCAGTGTCCAATGATTATGCTCTCATGAATGGATTTAAACATGGTTCTGTTCGGAACATTTACAAAGTCTTACGGCTTTTTATCTCCCATTTACTTTGCATAATATGATCTGCGGTTTACAAAGTACATATATACATACATACGTTTGTGCCATGTGTATATATATATATATATATATATATATGTGACACAAACGACGCGTGGGGCATACTGGTCGGAGGCGCCCTGTGACACACACATGCGATCGATCCCCGCACCCGTGGTTCACCAAGCTTTCCATTCCTCCGGGGTCGACGAATTGGTGCCAGACTTCTCTAAGAGGATAGTAGCACTAACTCGATACATCGGTAGGCCACCGCGAGTCATTGTAAAGGCCAGATATGCATTCAATCACCTCCAACGATACTTAATGAAGTCGAGTGCATGGCACATCTCTCAGGGATTGATCGACGCCAAGAGCTTTATCCTTTATCCTTTATGTATGATACATGTTCTACATCATATCGCTTAATAGTAGTAACTAATAACGACAGCAATATTAACAATATTGCAATTTTTGCCTACAATCAAAAACGAACGCGGCGTTTCTATGCTCCCAAAATCGGCTACAATGTTGACTTCAAATTTAGAAATGAAAGACATCATATTGGTTGTATGGACTTTGCATTACGTCTATTGACACATTCGAAACAATCATGTGTCACTTAACATCTGCACCTAGTGATAACCTTTCTAGCATATACAGCAGCAGATCTCCGATCGTCCTGCTCTGTAACAACCTTGAAGCGTCCCAAATTTCGTCTTCATTTCTGGAATACCTGGTGTTTACTTCGAGCAAACTATAATATCGAAATACTCCCACATCCAATACAGCACCAGTAGACGTTCATCTTGAAGTGTTTTAAGCAGAAAGCTTTCTTCACGCACTTGTTTATATTCTCCGTGCGATAACCAGGCACACCTTTGTGGCCAAGTGGAAGAAGATCTATATGTACCTAAAGTATGGACGAAAAAATATTGTCTAAACTGTGAAGATCCAGAAATATACGTGCCAGTTGCTAGCACTTCTAGCAAAGCGAGAGTATGTCGTCATATGATCAGCTGTGTCCACGAAAAGGTTTCTGTTTTCGTTTTTGCCACTGAAGTTTTTTGATTGTGTTGCAGCTGAACCGACCTCGAAGATAGGCAATCAGATCCCTACTGAATGATAGTAACTTATTCATAAAGATGGAACGAATCAATTCTAGTACAAGTATTAGAAAGCACTGCATGCAGTGAGGAGAAATGACTTTGCAAACGATGTCGGCCCTTACGTAGTCGCAATCTTTGAAAGTCTCCTGACGTTTCCTTTGGATGAGACAGTAGACTGCATAGACAAACGAAGAGCTGATGGACTGACGGACTTCACTCGAATGTCGCCAAATGGTCGGCTTGTTAAAGCTCAGCAGAGATTTTAAAAAGCCATTACCGTCAAGGAACTGATTCTATGTAAAGAAGACAAATAAAGGCTTATTGACAGAAGTCTACTACGTTAACACTCATTGGTGAAGAGTGGCCGGCAGTCGCTCTAACGGATGAGCATCTATAGAACCCCTTGTCAAGTGTATCACCCGTAATGGATTCATCTTTGTAATCCCGTCTGGCTTCGAGCAATTCTAGTGTGTACTCTGCCGTGCTAGTTCAACGAGCTCCAGTAGTATTGCGTTAATCGTATGAGGTATTATATTCATACTATTTGGTGAAACTCTACGCACGCCTACCATTGAAGGTTCTTTCATCGGAGCTGAGCTTAGTCGTGGGTAGCTTACAGCGTTTTCTCAGAGTAAAACTGGAGCGTATTTCTTGGAGGGACTCATGGGTTTCTCAATTAATGGTTGACTGCTTCTCAGAAATACAAGCTTCACGGTGTAGTTCACATACTCGTACACTCTGCGCACCCACGTACACATATAAACATGATTACTGGATAGAGAAGGCTTATGGCACCACGACTCTGTGGGAATTGGGAGTCATTTAAGCTTACCATTGTCTTTCAATAAATAGTAGCTTTCTGTTGGCTTGAAAAGAAACTTGGTGTTCTAACTAGATTCGAAGAAGGTAGACTTTTAACTAGCTGAAAAGTGAAACATGGGATCCGTGAGTTGTTATATATTTGGTAAATATTCTACGATTTTCCTTGAAATTTGAGACCGGTCTTGTTTCCCATTATTTTAATGATCTAACTTTTTTTTCAGAGGAGATCTAGCCGCTGAGAAACGCGACAGAACACCCGTTTCCGTTCTTGAACTGGTACGTTCCATTCGATAATTTTTCATTCTTTCCCCGGTGGCGTCAATGGAAGAAGACACTCTTTGCCTAAAATAACGACAGAAATAAGAAGGACGAAAGTCAAGTGCATTGCTATTTACAAGCTCGTTGTCTGAGTAATACTGTTATACAGTCATAAACATACATCCTCCACTCCCAATAGTTTACCGCCTCATCGTGCACAGCGCTTGCCTTAGTATGTACTATGTGAAATGTTTCCCAAGTTTTTAAAACTTTCGACATATTCTAAAGCTATGGCAAGTAGTAATGACATGTGAAACCCAGAGCACGGTAATTTTCAGCTAGCAAATCACCATTAAAGTGGAAAATGTGCGACTACCAGAACGGCTCTTAGTAATTGCAGATGATGGGCCATTAAAGAACTCGAGTAACGTTATATAACAAATAAGAGCTCACAGCTCAATAGACAGCTCAAAACGGACAGTAGAGAATATAAGCTATTTAGTTCCGATTTGCTTCGAAAAGAGATCGCTACTCTATGGCAACTGGATGTGTTCTGGCTCTCATCGTAGGATCAGTTCTACCCGTGAACTGCGTTTTAGGTGGCCTATACGTAAACATTTACCTGACAGACGCTAATGTGAGTCCACTATTTATTCATCCTGAACAATGAAATCCGTTTTGCTCCAAGAAATGTCTAATTTGAGCGAAATCGTTGGGCTACACAAAATTCAGAGAATCATTATATTTTTGAATGATTTTTAACCCTTGTCTTCCATTTCTGAAACACCAAAGCATACATACATCTAAAGCAGAGCATACTCTGCTTGAAATTGACTCACTATTATCTAATTTTATCTTGCCCTTTCTAATATAATTCTTTTTTCACAGTCTCAAAAAAGTAATTTTCACGTACAAGGGAAAAAATCCTTTGAAGATTCGTTATATTCTAAGGTGACTTTTCAGCATGTTGGTAACGACTTATTATGGAATCATGCTTTTCATCTCTGTGCTGCTTACCTAGGTTTCGGTATCCTCCTTTTTATCCTTAGCTATCTACAGGTGTGCCCTTCCTTTTCGGAGAGAAGATTTCTTCATCACGTAATGTTCAAAATACAAATTTCAGCATTACTTTCTTCGTTTGGCTAGTCGTAATATTGCTAAACGGATTAGAAAAGAGTTCGTTATGGCAGTACTGAGGCAAAACGCGGCTTGGTTCGACAAGAACTGTGCAGGATCAATTACAACCCAACTGAATGAGTATGTGTTCAACAGATTAACCATTTTCTTGGAAAAATAGGTATATAACCATATAGCTCAAAAGACCGACTTTTTATAAACCTCGGCTAGATAGTTGATATTTATATGATCTTATAAACTGATCTTCTTGAGCTGATGCGAGGTTGGTATAAGTTGTCGTTGTCGTTGTCGTCGTTCTTGCTGTTGTTTCTGTTGGTGTTGTTTGTCGATGGCTGATGTTTCGGCGATTTCGCCTTCCTCAAAGCCGTGATATTACGAGTCCCACTCACAAACAAACCCACAAACAACACCAACAGAAACGACAACAACAACGACAACGACAACAAAGGCCTATACCAACCTCCCATCAGCTTAAGTAGATCAGTTTGTAAGATCATACAAATAAATATAACCATATAGTTTGATTTGACCTCTAAAAGCAGGGCTATTTGAACGTTATTCATTCCACTATTTCTCACTTGCTAACTAGTTACCAAGCACCACATTCCTTTGGTGCTAGCGAAATGGTATCGCGCATGTGCGGAAGAAACCTACCAATCCATAAATGAAGGCCACTGCCTGCGTTGAAGACCTCAAAACAATAAAGATATCCCAGGGTTCCAAAGAGAATTAGTTTGAGCCGCTCTAAGTGACATGCATGAAAAAGACCAAAAAAAACCTTAAGGATCAGGGTAACACATCTATATCCAAATAATTTCGAGGATAACAGATTCAAGAAAACCAACTGGGTGAAAGAATTAGTGAAAAGTGTGCAATTGGTGATGAAGGATCGATAAACTAGCAAGTAAGCAAATAAGATGAGACTATAAAATGTTCTTCTAAGTGTCTCAACGAAGTAGGCGGTCTATAGTATCTTTGTCCGTCTGCTTATTTATTTAACATCCTGCAGAGTTCAAGCATTTCTATTTATACGACTTCATCGATCACCATGAGCCACTATGATTTCCATTACATATTGGCTTTCCTGATAGAGGACCGTTCGCCGGCGGAAGTCTAGACGTCAGCTGCGTTGGCATACATGTTTGACCCTAACTTTCGACGTTGTCTGTCTAGATAGCGCTTTGAATAAGCCCGATTATGTTCACTGTACCTTCCATATCGCTCTTGTCTATCACGTTTTGGTCATAACTTGAGAACCTAAGAAATTTTATAGGTTCCTTAGTTGGTCGTTTCATTCAGCTCGCTTCTCATCTCAAGCTATTGGGTGTGCAAAATTTTTGAGCAATAAAGCATTGCCAAAGTGTTCAGTAATATCCGCTCCATCCAGCATAAATGAATTAGGAACAAATTCAGGACGACAGTTCTTGTAGGCTTCGTTTACAAACCAACTTTTCTGATTCCACTACCTCAGTAAGTGAGCCACTATAAAACCATGCAAAAAAAACAGCGTGCCTCGTTCAAAGAATGAAAAGGGCAAACCACTTGGCGTTCGTCTCACCCTTAGGAATGCCTTATTTTTTCGACGCCACCAAGTGTTGCATAAGTGGTCGAACCCATATTTCGTCTTCATAAATAATTGCTGGAATGAACATTCGGGCATCAAATTTTCCAAACTCATGCAGGCAACACGCTCGGTTAGCCCTAGAGCAGATAGTACCAAAGACCTTGCACATTAAACACAACCGTAAACCGCCGCACTGCCTGCTTGGATGCTTGGTTACTTGAATCGCTCATCTTCACAAGCAGTGCGGATCTCAAAATAATTTCCATTTGTTTCTCTGTTGCGCTAGTGTCGTTCTTGGTGATGGTCTGTTTTGGCCACGAACGTGTCTGTCCTTCATTTTGGTGGTCGACCAGAACTTTGCGCTCACTTGGTAACAACTCCACTGCCGTTTTCTCCAACCGTTATCACCTTTCGTTTTATGTGACCGGCCCATCTTGCTTCGCTACTGTTGCGTATTCTCCTGGATCATGAAAATGAAATAGGTTTCGAAGATCTATGCTGGCATATTCCGGCTAGACACTGACAGCCCCAATTAGATTTCAGAAGAAATCGTTCCAGCGCTCCGTGGGTGATACGCGGAGTTAGTGACGTTGTTGATGTATCAACCACGTTCTACACTGGTCTGTCTCTCTTTGCAAAGTTAGAATATCATATGGATTGTGAAAACAAATATGATTTATGACTCATCGCTTGAAGGGATGTCATAGATGATGCCACCGCGTCGCGGAGCTTTGGTTCGCTTCATACTTTCTCTCGCTGCTTAAACTTGAGAAGGTAGAGTCCCGAGCGTTTCAGAGTCCTAGGAGGAAATTGTAGAACAAAAAAATGAAAAAAAATAAATAAAAAAAACTTTTCCGTCATCAATTCCAAATCATACCTGGATAGTTCCATCTTCGTTCATCAGGGCTGACAGGGAAACACTATGCTCACATCCTGACAGATCCCGACGAAATTTCGTCAGACTGATTGACTCTTTATTGTGCTGCTTCCATCAACGACTTTTGTCTTTACCGGTGTAAACCTAATACCAAAGTTTTCCTGCAAATGCCATTTATTACTACGCGTGCTAGGTGTGTTGCGATTGGATCAAGCTTCAGTTTACTTTCTTCTTAGCGGAACTCCTTAGCAGCAGTAGAAATATGGTCTGTACTCTTTGAGGAACTGAAATGTCTTCGACACAAGTTTCGACTTCCTCTAGATGTAGCTTGTAGACTTCATTGGGGTCTTAATATATCTGCTAGTCAAATGAGGAACGGGTTTTATTGATAGAATCCCCTTCATACACGATTTGCCTTGTTTACCTTAGAGGATGATAGGATTTCGCTTCCAGTTTGTGGATAGCTCAAATCTTCGCACGGAACAGTTTGTGAGACTGAAGGTTCAAAGAGGTAGCACTTCCTCTTTGCGAGAATATTATAGATCTCCGCTAGAGTCTTGCCGTTAGAAAACTCCCATATCCATTCTCTATTCTCGAAAAAGGAAATACAGTAGAAGAAACGTGCTGTCGGCAAAAATTCGACATGGCGGTTTTCATTCTTATTTCGATCTCCAGTTCCGATTTTTCCTATCCTGTACTCGTTTTCGCTGCCCTTTCCTAATCTGGTATTGAAGTCTCCGATGACAACATAGAGAAGGACTTTTCGTTGCTGATAACTTTTGTTGATGCTTCCAGTTTGCTCTCATCATCATCATGGCCATGGAACGCAGTCTGTTCTCATAAGCTGCACAAGGTGGTGATTAGCAGTTGATAATTATTGATTAACGCAGAATTTTGGCGCGAAGAATGGCCAAGCGGATTTCGTATGAGGTAACTAGGTGGCAAATAGATGGATGTAGGACAAAGCAAACGCTTCGGAAATTTCGCAAGGGAAATTTGCTTCCACATATTGTCGTATACAGGTCCTTCTGTTCTTCGGCTGTTGTAGGGCCATCACATGGAATTTGATGCAATCAGTAGCTTCAAGCAGAGCGTAAATTCGTGTTTGAAGAGATTGTTCTGCTATTATAGGTACAGAGTAAGAAGCAGTCTCAATGGTCTATCATGGGCGTGCTCGTCTTCTTCATTTTCGGTGACATTCTGTGAAACCCGAAAGAGAGATCTCTCACCAATTGTTTCACCACACAACGTCCAAGACGAAAGCGCATAGTGTGTGGGGTTCTACGGCTGCAGTTTTGCAGGTTGAGCCATTTTGGCTACTTGGATTCCCGAGATCAGCCTAGTCAGAACTTTTCAGCTTGCGAGACCGTTCTTAGGGAATAAAACCATCCCGATGTACATTGCAATCCGATACCCAGGAACATCTCCCAGCCACGATGAGGTGGTAACCCTTTAGGAGGAACAGTGCACTAAAATATAATAACAAATATTAAGCGTGATTATAGCCTTCTTCATGCGTGATTTTCAGAAACATTTCGCAAATTGAGGACGGCATTGGGGACAAGATGGGAATGTTGGCTAGAGGAATTTCCACCCTCATTGCATGTGTCACCTTTGCTCTTGTGTCCAGCTGGAAGATCACGTTGGTTTGCGTGGGCGTTGCTCCAGTGAGCGTCATAACAATGGCGGTTATGTCACGGGTGAGGAGACAGCAATCTCATATGTTTCTATCCGAAACTGATTATTCTCATCGAGCGAAATCAATTTGCTTACGATTTATTCAGAACCTTTTCGTTAAGTTTTTGAAGCTCACAAAACTCTAGACACAAATAAACATTCTCTTTCAACTCTTGCTTTCAAATGTTTTTTTGCGAGGATGGACGAAATTTGTCGCTTTAAGCAAAGACTTGAAAAACGCCGTTTTTGTTACGTCAATTATACCAAGGAATAGCCGTTGCTTTGAGCTTTCTGGAATGGCCTTTTATAGATGTCGTCGTCGGCGATGCAAGGGATGATGACTGTTGCTGGCGCAGCAGGAGCCCTGGCTGAGGAGGCGATAATGAACGTGAAAACGGTGTCGGCGTGTAACGGGCAGAACCACATGATCAAGGTTTGCAACATACTGGCTACACAAAAAGGAATGTTTCACTTAATGGCGAAATGAAAAACGAAATGAAAAAAAAGTGAAACAAAGTAATAGATCGTTTCCAAATGTTCTTTCCACTATCTTGTTCTGTAGATAAATATTTAATTATTCTTTCACTCTCAGATTTTTTTAAATAAGCTTGCACTAGGTTGAAATACATTCTTTAATTTTGGCTAACGTTTTGATCGCTTAGTCTTTATTAGAACATGGACGATCGACTCGGATCATCGGCTCTGATGAAGGCGAAACCGTCGAAACGTCAGCCGAAAATAAAGAATGTATATCAACCCCGTGTAAGCTTATCAAAGAAAAATACAATTGATCAGTTATACCGATATTGCAAGTTGGATTTAAAATCTCATATTTTTCTAAAGAATACTCAACAATGTCAGCAAACAGGAAGTTACTGATTACTGGTACCAAGGTTTAATGGAAGGGCAGTTTCTAAGGCACTGATTGTCTCGCTCAAATGAAGTATCGGCTACCACAGGAAGCATTGCGCAGGCAAAGTAGGTCATGCTGGATGCAACCGTCGGATATTGGATCCATCGACCAACACCCGCCATGTACAAAGGGACATCGCTGAGTGAGGCTAACCATTCGACGGGTATTCTCTACACTGGACTCCGCTTGATACGACAGCGAGCCCACATTTCAACCGCGACCAACTGTGGACATCGACTCGCATCAACGCGACTCTGCGGAAGACGAAGATGCCGAAACTTTAGTCTAATAAAAGTTCAACTGCCAAATTCCCGTCACCTCAATTAGACAGAAGGTCACTGAATAATGACCTAAACTTACCACATCCACTCGTAAAAGCGGCTTCAATTAATCTCATGCATTTGACTTCATCAAATATTGTAAAAGAATAAAACCATTGAATGTATATCTGTTCTACACAATAACTTGCCGAAGCCACCGATGTAAGAAGTCAGTAAGTATCTCCTTCGAGACAATTCTGGTACCAGTTTTCCGACCACGGAGGAATGAAGGAGTTAACGAGCGCGTGTGCAACCATACACTGATGTGATGTCTGTTGTAAGACACCTCTAACCAGAGAGCTACAAGAGCGCATTTCTTTAAAGGATCAAGTCTTCTTAAAAAAAAGGACAGCGAACATTTTAAAACGTTTCATCAAGTGCCTGCACTTTTCCATAGAGGTTTAGGTGATATTGCAAGAATTATTGCTAAATCGGGTTGCCACCGTGCACTTTAGTAATTCTTATTTACATTGCGAATTTATGAAAATATTGAGCAGAATACTTGGTATTTACTGCTTGAATGGCCCTTCCTTACTGGATGTGCTTGGCCCAACATAATCTCCATCTTTCGGAGATTTGCTGGTTAAGCCATTGTGGTTCCCTGGAAACCCGAGGTCAGCCAGGCCAAACTCTGCCACAGATCGTCACCACCGCATGCAGTCGCAGCCCTTGTGGATCAGAGGGAGATTTGCCACCATGCGACTTTGACATCAGGGCGGTGGTGGATCCTGGTGTTGGTGTACTCTTAGCTAGGCTTCCTGATGAAAACGCCAGACTCCTCCTCAGCTGGGCAGATCCTGCCAAGGGTGTGAATCTCCCGCTGTCCAGCGCAGCCTTACAACTAGGAGCACCTCACAGCCACGATATACGATATGTTACGAGCGGGTAAACCGTTAAGAGGATTGAACAGAATGCTGGGCACAAATTTCATTTTTCTTCTAGTCCTTTTTGAAAAACTATAAAACAAAATTTGAAATTTTCAAAGAAAACCGTATCTCTTCTATGTTGCATTTTGCCTTTGCCTCTATCCTTAGAAAAAGGGTTTTTAGCGGATCAATTTTTATTAGCGAAACCCAACTGGTGAGTGACTGAATGAAAAAGTATCCTACCAACAGCTTTCAATGTTGACTAGGTGAACAAATTCAGAAATACCAGCAGCAGCTGAAGAATGGCTTGCCGTTCGCAATTCGCTACGGCTTCATCTGCGGCTTCTTTGAAGGCTTGATGTTCTTTCAACTATACGTGTTCTACGCTGCTGCCTTTCTGTACGTGAACGTGCTAAAGATATTTAGAAAATAATTCTAAAAAACTTCCACTTCCAGTGAAGTTCCTTCTAGCTTTTGAAAAATTGTTTTTGAGTAAGTAGTATGAAGACAAAAATTTTCCTAGATATGGAATTCCAAGTTATTATCATGGAATAACACCAGAACCAGGAACAATCTTCATTACGTCATCTGCTATATTGTTCGGTAGGCCAAAAATTTTCGCCCGAAGTTAGAAAAAAAAAAGAGGAAAAGTCAGAATTATTTTTGTTTTTGCTAGGCTCATACTTCTTCGGCTTACTTGGTCCCCATATGATGGCGATTGAGAAGGCGAGAATGGCAGCTGCGATCATCTACGAAACAATTGATACAGTAAAACATTCTTTGTTATTTTATGCGCTATTCTCACATCCGATGCTTTTAATAACAATTTGATATAAAGTAAAGTGTATTACAATGCTTGACAAGTTAGGCCATCTGGTATGGTAACAATGGTAAAGAAATAACAAAGCAATGATATATATGTACTCAAAATTCTTGTTAAGGAAGGAGGTGGTTCCGAAGATGGAGAAGAAATGCATTCATGCGAAGGACGATTAGAATTTAAAGATGTTCACTTCAAATATCCATCTAGGTAAATTTATTTTTTAAGGAAAAAGGTAAAGTGTTGCTTAGATGGTTTCATCGCAGGGAGACTCCTGTACTTCTTGGTTTGAGTTGGTTTGCAGAGCCAGGAGAGACGGTCGCTTTTGTAGGAAAGAGTGGATGCGGAAAAAGCACTAGTGTACGTTGGTTTTTGGACCTTTGTACCTAGTTATCCTCGATTTATGATGGTTGTGAGAAAGACAAAGCAAAGGTCTCGATAGTGCAGTGGATAACACGTGAGCACCTGGAAAGGGTAGCAGCGAGTACGAAGCTCAACTGGGGTTTCGGGCTTTTCTCATACTTCAGTACCATTGTAGTTGTATTTCGTATAGTGCCGTGCCATGAAAAGAGTAACAGGCAGTAAGTAAAAAGTTAACCATTATCCTCGATGTGTTGACATCCTGTCTTCGCTAACCCTGCAAACGGTTATTGGATCCATTCCGTTCCGCCGCCACAATGGCTTATCGAGGCAATTTAACCTCAGGATCGTGATGTCTACGGTATTCTGTCTTCTCATTCTGTACTCACCATCAAGTGCATGACGCACAGATAAGTGCATGAGTAGAGAATAGGGTATACGAGAGGGAAACTGATAGCGCAGTGGTTAGTGACGTCGGCGATCAGGGAACAAAAAAGGTAGTTTGATGCCCCAGCGCTTTCCTACAAACCATGTGGGCACGCCTTAGCCTTGCTATCTCTAAGATTGCAAGGAGAATTGAATCGATCAGCAATCTGCGACGTTCATGAAGAAGACGAAATCCTCAACTAGCAGCTGAAATAACGCGCGAAATGGTCGAAGATCGTTGTGAATGTTGGATGCGAGGAAACCAATCAAATTCAAGAAGTGCTGAGATCTGCGCAGTAGATGTGATGGCGGGTCGTCTAAAAATTAAAAAACGAGCGCGAGTAGTACCTATATCATAGCTGCTCTTGCTTGGTAATGCCTTCATGTACTTGTGATCGATTACAGTACTTTCGTATCCAATTTCTTCCAGTTCTTGTAAGATATTTCGAAACCGACTTTCCTTGAGCCTCGGTGTGACTAATCAATATGTATTCTTTCTTTGATGAGCTTACACGAGGTTGATAACTATATTTATTTTCGGCTAACATTTCGACGTCTTCGTCTTCCTCAGAGCCAATGATCCGAGCCGATGGTCCACGCTTGTTGTTCGTCTCGAAGTGGCAGCTTCGCCTTCGTGTCGAGTCAAGTCATCCTCAGCGGTACATCTCCTAGAATGAGGCATACTCACTCGGTGATGCCGTTTTACGCAGGTTGCTGATGGTGGATAGCTGTGATTGTCCGATGATAGTAACTTGTTTTTCCTGGGCAATCAAACCTGCAGAAGTCGGTGTTATTATCAGCTAGCACAAAACGTAGTAATATTTCGAAACCGACTTTCCTTGAACCTCGGTGTGACTAATCATTATGTATCACTAATCGCTAATATCACTTCCAACAATAATAATAATTTGATAATAATAATAACAATTAATAATAATTTGTTTTTGTTCTTGTTCTGTTCTGTTATAACTTGTTCTTTAATAATAATTTGTTTTCCAAAGAGTAGTCTATCTTACATCCGGCAGCAGACGTATTAAATTAACTAGCATATAGCGAATACAAAATATTTTTCAATGTGTTATCACCTTGACGAAATGGAATGACTTTTCAGAGATTAGTGGCAGAAGATTATGCGAAACCTATGCCGACGCACGACGCCAGGAGGTTAGCGCTTTGGTAGACAGTGGGTCCACTTCTTGGTGGAAAAGCGACGATATTTAGAACCCAATTTCTTTCCACGCGGTTGAATGCTTCTATGCATTCGATGAAGATTGGTACAAAATCAATGTAACCATTTCAATAGACTTCCATGAATATAAATATAGTTTGTAGTGATACACATAGTAAATTCACGTTGATTACGTTTCACACATAACAAAAGTGATTTGGGCGATAATTGATGTTTTCACTTGCGATGTGACAGTGCACAAAGGAGGACAACCTACATAACCGAAACATCGCTGGGTGCCTTCTCTTCTTGACAATAAGGGTCCCGTTTTCAAGTTGACACTTCTTCGTGTTCCTCCTTTTGCTAACCCGCTATGCGATTTCAAAAAACTTGGGTTGTCTCAAGGTGGTGCGAAGATTAAGTTTGAAATGAAACCTTTGATGTTGTAGATGCTAAGTGAAGGAGCTTAACCCGTGAAGAAATCACGGGAGCATGTCCTAGAACTAAATATTATTCTTTACGTGTGTCACTCGTATATATCTTCACCTTGGGAACGACTACTTATTAGCTGGTGTCTCCAATCACCTAACACGGAATGACTGTATGGATACCACTACCGGTTTATTTTTCGAGAGAGCACTTCTTGTTGGTTCTGAGAGTAAGTGATTATTTCAGACGATCCGCAATTCCTCCAGAGTCAGTCGCTAGATCCCGTGAATCGAACAGAGATATTCTGGATGTCAACTACATGTTTCTTATCTCATCAAGATGTCGACATTTCCTCATATTGACTTGTTCCCGAACTTTCACGTGATAGGTCTAAATACTTCCAAGTTTTGTCGATGCAATTTTAAGAATAAACTCACAGTGGTAAATCGAGTCAACGACACTCCCTGTTCGCGATAATTATTGGACCATGTGGAGATCAATAAATGTGTTTTTTTATTTTGGGATTTTTTTTGAACAACCCGTCTTTACACGTACTATGTGAATCCCAGCACTTCTTGCATTCGATTCGTTTTCTCGTATCCATAATCCACAAAGGTCTTCGAACTTTTCGCGTGTGGATTTGGCTGCTGCTTGAAGGCTGTCTATTTTCTGGACGTTTTTAAATGATGGTCAAATCATTTCACACTGGAGCATTTTAATTTCCATTGGGATTAAAGGGGGTGAACTGGCCCCATACAACTCTACTATAAACTTCTTGAACCTGGAGGAATGATAGAATGTGTGAGCCTATGGCGGGGTCGAACCAACACCATATCCATGGTGGACGGCATCACCACCGCTCCGCGACCCACCTCAGTTGAATGGTATGAAGACAAAGGTACATATGCTTTCGATAATGTCTATTTAATGCACCTTTATTAAGATTGGGCTTTTAACACGACTCTACGACTGTCATAAGGGATCAATGTTCATTGACGGCCGCGATATTCGTACAATCAAGGTCAGAGATCTGAGAAAGGTGAGAGCCCACTCGATTGCAGCGTTGAACGAATTCCGTGATAGACACTTGCAGATGATTGGTATCGTGCAGCAGGAGCCATGCCTATTCAACGGCACCATTCTCGAAAATATAGTCCTCGGTAGACCGATCAGCGACGAACAGGCTAAAGATGCTGCCCGGATGGCCAATGCTCATGACTTCATCGTTAAGCTGGAAAAGGTTCTTTACTATTTTAGTTAAAAGCGAGTCGTCGTCCAACTGTCCACTTACACATTCAACACTACAATACTTTAATACACTGTGACGATAACTGAAAATCTGCAGATTTTCTACGCCTGTTAGCCGCTCTAATGCTACTCACTAAACAGTCCATACTCTGATTTATCTATGGCTCTAAAATGCTGCGAATATATGGTGATACCTCCGCTTTTTTTTCTGAAATTATAAAACCACAGGTAGCCCGAAAGATCTACTTTCTATAAACCTCGACATAATAATCGATACACCTGTACACGTGTTCTTATGAACTGCCCTTTATTACGTCGACTTGAGGTTGTATAGATGTTATCATCTACAACATCTATACCAACCTGGTATCGGCTAAAAGGAAGGGCGGTTCGTAGGAACATATATACGAATATATCAAAACCACAGGTAAATTTAATATTAACTTTGTAGTATGCTTAGGCACTTCTGCAGATGGAATGTTCTGCAGTAAATCTGGACTGGTTAACTGTCAACTCACCACCACAAGCATTATAAGGTTGCTGATCGAAGAACATTATACGAAGTCTTATAAAGAGTTGTTTTGTTCTTGGTTTCTTTCTATTCGCACCCCATCACGTAACACAGCTACAATGTATCTCCACTTTAAGCGTTTGAAGAGAAATTCTCATGTTCGCATTCTGAGCTGATTCTATGTAGAATGTTTAATAGAAAAAGGCACAATGAGTCTGACTAACTTATTCATATCAGCAATCGAAATCAGTCAACTAAAATGTAGTTGTGGATTATACTGTTAAGCAAAATATACTTGTGGACAACATTGTGGTTCGGACTAAAGATTCAGCTTAACTTTGCTCAATGCTGATTAGTGCTCTTCAGATCGTTCTCGTTGACGGGTGATTACCGACAGCATCGAATGCGTTAAAACCTAGCTAACAGAAAAACAAACTAAGGGGACTCGGTGGTGAAGTGGATAATACATGAGCATCCGAAAAGGGCAATCGCGGGCTCTAAGCTCACCTGAGTTTCAACGTTTTGCTTACATCTCAGAGTCATTGTGATTGGATTTCACATAATATCCTGTCATAAAAAAAAATAATAGGCTGAAAACAAAAGTTAAACATTGCGATTAAAATTTATCTATCACCGCTTAGTTGGAGGCGTAGTGCAACGGTTCGAAGTGCTTTGCAACACATACAATGCTCTTCATTCGATTCCGCGCCCTTCATCCTTTTGGGGCCTGCAAATTAGTACCACGTTTCTCTTGGCGGATAGTAGCACTGACTTACTACGTCCGTGTACCACCGTATAGACCACCGTTGCTGTACTCCCAAACACGCATTCAATCACATCTACGGTGCTTGATGAAAACAAATACATGACATATTCTTTAGGGTTCGATCAATCCCGAACGCTCTATCCTTTGTGCTTTATGCCTTTTCCCATCACCTATTTAGTATATCACCGTATCGAAAGCATTTCAGTTCCTTTTTTTCTCAGGTTGGACTGCGTTGTACTGTATTACATTGCTTTACCGAAGTAAATATTTCGCATTCCACTTCATAACATTTTCAAATAAAGGTTGAAATTGGAAAGTGAAATTGGAAGCCATTTCTTGGTGGTAGCTATAAACGTATACGTCTCACTGTCTAGGGCTACGACACAGTAATCGGGACCGGTGGTGTTACTCTATCAGGAGGTCAGAAACAGCGACTTGCCATCGCCCGCGCAGTGGCAACTGAGCCGAGAATTCTGCTTCTTGATGAAGCAACCAGCGCTTTGGACTCAGAGAGTGAAAAGATTGTGCAGGTTTGTTGTGTAATTCCCATCAAATCAATCTTGAGGGTTAATCATGTAGGTACATTTAACTTGGATGGAAAAAAAGCCTGACAAAAGATTGACTTTCTCCCCTATGACGAGTTCGCGCTATGAATGCTGGGTATCTAGGTGAGAGTGCGAGTTCTAAAATTTCATGACAGTGTACTGTTTATAGTTAGCACTAAACAAAGCGTCTCGAGGTCGGACAACAGTGGTGATTGCTCATCGCCTAAGTACACTGAAAGATGTTCAACGGATCTATGCAATTGAAGGCGGTAAGATTGTAGAAGAAGGTGAGTGATTTTATGTTGTTAAGTCTACGTTGTAGCGGTTGTATATGCATATATCACTAAGTTTGTCGGTAACATTGCACCCAATAGTACAAAGTACACAGGAACGCATTTGGAGTTAATGGAAAGCGGAGGTCTTTACAGCAGCTTGGCAAAAGCACAAGAAATTGGGGTTGGTGTGGGCCCGAGACAACGGAAAACATCAGAAAGCTTCGACACTACTCCATAGTAAGTTCTTAAGCAATTAAGCTTCAAGTCGGTTAATAAGAAATTTTCATTGTACTTGCTCATTACACTGGCGTTGCTTTATAGAATAACTAAATATCAAGTCGCTAATTTGCAGTTTTTTTGATAAGCCCACAGAAGGTTGCTACCTTATTCTTTGTTAACAAAAAAGGTGATGTTTACGGATTTCATCTTTTTAAATGTCTGCAAAGGTTTAGTTGACTGCGACATAGTCAGCCAATTACCTCCACAACCCCAGCAGAAAAATCACGAAACCTAGATTTCGGTGGAATTGAAAACAAAGTAATCACGTGATGTGGAGATATTTGCAAAACCTGGACCCCTCGCGAGATCGAACTGCAGTGACCCTTTCAGTGGGCTCGTTTGTTACACACTGCACCCACTGAGGCGCTCGTTCTGCCTTTCGCTCTGCCAGTCTTTTTACTCTAACGGTGTCATAAGCAATCATTCATCAACTGGAATGGTTTGGGTAGCACCATTAGGGTAAAAAGACGATCTGAGAGAAAGGCAAGATAAGGGCTTCAGCGGTGCCATGCGTAACACATAAGCCTCTGGAAAAGGTGCCTGTGGTTTGATCGGGCCTGGTGTTCAAGTTTTGCAAATTTCTCAGCATCACTGTATTTGTATTTCACACAATACCCTGCCATGAAAGAAACAAGTAGTAGGTAAAAACTTATACAGTGAAGCAAAACAGTTTCATTCGCACATTTACCACACTTTGTAATCCTTCCACTGAGCATATCACTGTAGACCAACCGCACAGAGATCATATGGATGTGTAATGTGCCTTTCTCACACTAAAATGTCACAGTGGGAGACATTTTGAAGTAGAAATCACCATCCTCGTAGAAGAATCTAAAACTCTTAAAGCATTCTGGATAAATTCCAAGATTTCGAATAAGCACTCAAGGGAGAAATGCTTTGCTATCATGCGTGATCGCACACAGTATCTCAGACTGGTATTTTAATGTGAAAGAGGCACATTAACCACCCATACAAAGTCTGTGCGGTTGGTCTTCGCCTGGAATACTCACTGGAAGAATTGTAAAAGGCGGTGAGTGTGCGAAACTATTTTGTTTTCTATGAGATTGAAATCCTTGTTTCGTGGCTTTTCTGTGGGGTTATGGAAGTATTTGGCTGAGTACATTGCAGTCAACTTGACTTTTCCAGGCCCTGAAGAAGACGAAATCCGTCGAGACGTCGACATTTTGTGAACAAGGAATAAAGTAACAACATCGAGTGTGCTTATAAACAGCGGATTATTGATCAACGCCGAGCTTAATAGAAACTAAGCTTTTTGAGAATTAGCAAGCCAACTCTTGTTAAGCAACCACACCCCTCTTGCAAGGTGCAATGTACGACGAAGTGGAATGAGCAGAAGTTCTTCGGCGTCACTCGAATATCCCCATGTTAAGCTTGCTGTGGAGAAATCGGCAGTTTCAAAGGTAGTTTATATAGTCTTTGTCTTCAGGAGTTGTCATTTTAAGACGAAAAAATGTGAAAGATATGAGAAATCTCATCTTCAGGGCCGTCGAGGTGGAGGGATTTTTCGAGTGTACCTGTCGAACATGCGCTCCAGTTTAGTGTTCTGGGTTTGCCTGGTAGGGAGCATCGCGAGAGGCATGGAACTACCACTGTTTGCATATTTCACCAACTTTACTTATCGTGCTCTAAATCAGACTATAGTAAGCAGTTTTCAATCTTACAAATATTCATTGAAAAAGCTGGCTACTCTTATTCTAAATACCATAGACCTTGCTATTAAATCTAATGAAGTCGATGACAATTAGCTGATATGCTTTTCATTCTTTCGTTATATAAATGTTCCGTTAAAATGTTATACTGAAAAAACTAAGTATTAAGGACACCTTTGTACCGTACATGTGGTGGGCCGTCGGAGTGTTCATTTTTCTTGCGATCTACTCATGGTTGTTCCTCATAATTTCTGTAAGTATTCATGATTTACTGCAAATAAATCCAAATCGAAAAAAATTGTAACTCAAGAATATTTATTCTAAAGCATGGAATGTATAAAGCTGCTCTTCTAAATGAATGGCTTCATTGTCTGTTGTAACGCCACCGCTGAAGGAAAAGTTATACTTCAGATAGGCTTTGGTGGCTGGTCAGCTGAAGCAGCGACGTCAAATATTCGTGTAGAGGTATTAAGGAGCCTGCTAAGCCAGAATGCTGAGTTCTTTGATCGTCCACACCGCAGTAATGCGGAATGTGTTGCTGAACTTTCTTCGAAAGCTCCAGATATACAAGCGGTATGTTTCACGTACTCCTATGTATTGATGAAATCAACGAGTAGTCAGAACGGATTGCGTGCATACTCTTAATTTAGACGAGCTTTCATAAATTCATGTACAATACGCATCAATATTTTGTTGGATTACTGAGTTAACACTAAAGTTTTATTCGGATAAATTACGGCGCCTTCTTGCCAGGGTACTCTGAATCGCAACAAATAGAGCACGTTTGAAATTAAAAGCTAAAGCTCTAAAGCTCTCGGCCTTGATCAATCCATGAGGGATGTGCCATGCATTCGACTTCATTAGGCATCGTTGGAGGTGATTGAATGCATATCTGGCCTTTATAACGACTCGCGGTGGCCTATACCATATATCGAGTCAGTGCTGCCGTCCTCCCAGAGAAGTCTGGTACGAATTTGTCGACGACGGAGGGATAGAAGGCTTGGTGAATCACAGGCGCAGAGATCGATCCCTTGTGAGCATCACAGGGTACATTCGATAACTGCACCACACGTTCCCCTCCTACTGCGCCACACGGCTCACATATTTGAAAGATTAAGTTGAATTTTTATTTAAGGAAGAATTTTTCACTTTTAAACACGTTTTCCAAGGTAGGAAGAGCTTACTTTCTGCTTTCACTCCAAGCTTTTCATATTTAAAATCGGTATAGAAGTTGTCTATAAAGGACGTGAAAATGAAATGAATGCAGTGTCTGGACTACCGCTTCATGTTGATGGTGAACAACGTGTGTGCAGTGATCGTATGTGTACTGCTGTCGGCGTGGGCCTGCTGGACCAGTGGTGTCGCCGCGATCATCTTGATCACACTGTTCACCGTCAGCGTATGGGTCACAAGCAACAGAATTTCGTCGTATATGGAACAACAAACAGCTCTCGATAAAACTCCGGAGGTGGGTTGGGTACACATGAAGTTGGCATGTCTAAGCGTTTTTCTCAACACTTCGTTTTTCAGCTCTGCATAGAGATCTTCGAGCATGCGCTCACCATCCAGTTACTCGCCGTTGAATCGTACTTTCTCAAGAAATACGAACAATATGAAATGAAAGTGAAAACGCAACGAAAAAGGGTGAAATGAATACCTTCCATTCGAAGAAAAAAACTGCCTTACTAGATCAAAAACACTACGCTGCGTGTTCCAGAGAAATGTCGGAATTGTTCCAGCTTGTGGTATATGAATCGATACAATTCGCAATCACTCAGTGCTACCTCTACTTTTCTGACATGGTCACATATTTCATCGGGGCGTATATGGTTTTCTATGGAAAAGCGCAAGCCGTGGAAACTGTTGTGTGAGCACATTCAGAGAAAAATTGGTTAATATCATTGCTTTATAAGCATATCTGGGGGGTTTTCAATTGTTAGAGTAATAAAACTTGAGATAAGGGGCGGATAGCACAGTGGTGGTGATGTCCGTCATTACGAGCATGGTGCTAATTCGATTCCGCACTGGGCCAACCAAGCCTCTCATCCGTCCGGGGTCGGGAAATTGGTACCGGTTATCTGGGAAAAAAATCACTTTCTGCAATCCAATTGGGAACGCTCCAGTCCGGCTATCTCAGGACTCTAGGGAGAATTGCTCGACCAGCATTCTACGACATTCAGGATGAAATGGAAATCCTCAAGCAGCAACCGAACCAACACGTAAAAGCTAGAACATCTTCATGGACAATGGATGCGAGGAAACGAATCGAATGTGAGAAGTGCTGGGATCCGCACAGTAGACGTCAAGACGGACAAAATAAAATAAAATAAATAAAAATTTGACTATCTGTAATGTGATCAACAATTTGACGTAGTTGGTTCTGGCTTCCTTCTATATTCAACTTCACTGCTGATTGATCTTCTCTCGAAAAACACGACTTCCACAACAAAATTTTTTAATAGAAAACTGAAAATCAAAGTTTTCTGAGATTTTTAAAAGAACTTCGAACCTATGGCAAGATCCGTTCACTTGGATTTTTGTATTTTTAAAGGTCAGCGATGAGTGCCAACCTTGCCGGCTGGGCTGTGATATTCGCATCAGCTACATTTGGTGATTTTGTGCGGTCGCACTTTGCCGCGCAGTCGTTGTACGATCTGATCGACAGCTGTACAAAGCCCGAAGCAGGACAGACACCTGTAAGCTTGCGCAATTTGAACTTTACGAACTTTTACTAAGGATTGAATGAAAGAAATTATCACAATGGGTAAGAAGTGTTGTTAAGAAACAGATCCGCGAACAGGGAAGAAACGGGGCAGGATGTTTCCAGAAAACAGAAATAATCCCTCAATGCTACATATGTGTGTCGTACAGTAATGTATTGTGGAACAAAAGCTTTTAAATGCCCACTTATGTGTTACTGAAGAATTCTTTCATGTAGTTGAAACTTAAGTTGAACTTTAACTTTGCTGAATTACCAACATTGATGAGGATCCGGACCCGCACACCTTCAACTGTACGAAAGAAAAAGCCATGAACAGAGCTCAAAAAGAATATTCCTAAGAAATATTTCAAGTGCAGCGTTTTTTAGCAACCCTACTGTGTTCGGACCTTATACGTCGTGGGATGAATAAAGGAATGATCAGATTTTTCACATACCGCAACCACCACATTCACAACACATCGTCAGCTGGAGATAAATGGAATGAAATCCTATGATACAAAGCTCTATTCGCGCTTCAGTGCATTAAGAGGACTGCTACCCCTGGTAAATCAGCATTACAGCCAATGTGGTTTAAGCTGAAATCTGCAGCTTGCATTATTTTCATGCGATACATATGACCATACATCTTCAAGAGAGGATGCGATAGAAGCGTTAGACTGTGGGTATCGGTCATCAGATGAAACGAAAGTGACTACCAGGAACTTCGTTTTCACCATACGATTTTCTTGCTCAATGTCCACCATGAACTTCAAATTGAGACTATTACATCGCATGTACCATGGACTTTTGATGACGCATGACCAAATGAGACAGAGCTCAAACAGAATCTGACCTCGCTTATTCTACATAGACCATAACCATACAAAACTGCCTTGGCGAGCTGAAATCCTCTAGGTGTACTTCTTCGCTTTGTCCTAATATTGAAATGGCTTTGGTAGTTCTAATTGGGTTTTATGGCAATTCTAGTACCATCACCACATCGTCTCCATTCCCATCGAAGAGAGTGAGGGTCGACGGTTTGAAATCATTTTGCCAAGGTTAGTGCACTGTTGTTAGCAACCAGATCTAATTCATAAAAAGAAAACATTTGTTCTGCTAGGAAATTCCTGTTAGATCCTTTTTTTTCTGATTACATTGTTACATTTCCGAAAGGATTTGGAGAAACAGAAATAATTTGCAAATAATTAAACAGCATGGGGAGTAGTACTAGCGATAAATGGGGCAGTAATTTGCATCGTTGTTCTCGTAGAAGATGGATTTCATGTGTATGAATAACTTTGAATAAGCAGTAGGAAAGTATTCAAATAGGAACGCACGAAAGGCCAAGTCGATATAAACCTCTTTCCAACGCCATTGAGAAACAACTAGCTAGCAGACACACTCCGATGTGCCCATCTCTTCTGTCACCGTTCGATTCAAAGTAATTCTGTGCGTACTCATACACATCGCTAAACAATATGCACTACAGCTGGATCTAATAAAACATAGATCTAAAGCTAACCATAGCAAGCCTAGTCCGCCAACATAATGGTACACCAACAACAGATGAAGGATGAGAGCGGTGGAATTGTCCATTTTTCTTCAAGGCGTTGTTAGCATTAAGTAATGGAAATTATACTCCGAAATCCACAAAATTATTATAAATTCGCCACCAAAATACAGTTGTAGTTGATAGCCATCAAGCGATAGTCTACGAACACATTTAAATAATGAAAGGCACACCTTTTGTCGATCTAACTCGCACGAACTTATCATAAAGTTCCACTTGTAGGTTTGCTAATGCAATTGTTGCAGGTGTTGCGCAACTGTTGTTCATTGGCTAAAGACAGACCAATGGCCACTTCGGTCTTTGTATTGCTCAATGGAAAGGCTTTAGTAATTAATTTAGTTTAGGTCATTCAAGGATCGCTCAAAGTTGAACACGTAGACTTCAGCTATCCTTCAAGACCAGACGTAAAGGTTGAATTTCTTCTTCGCAATTCTTGCATAACTCTCGCATTTGATCGAATAGAAAATATTAATTTCGGGGAAATACTTACTTACTTGGATACTCGAATGGCACGTCCTCACTCGTTGTGCGGGTCCCATCTCCGTTTTGTTGGAGTTTTGCTGGTTTAGCCAATGCGGTTCCCTGGAGTCCCGAAGTCGGTCAGGCCAAAGTTTGACCCAGGTTGTCACCACCACAGGCACTCGCCGCCCTTGTAGAACTAAGGAATATTTACTACAACGCGACTAGTTTGATACCAGAGCGGTGGTGGATCCTGGTATTGCTCTTAACTGGGCTTCGTGATGGAAACGCTGGACTCCATCTCTGCTTGGGAGACTCTGTAAGAAGGATAAATCCTCTGCTATACATCCCTCCCAGCCACAATGAGGCAGCAAGCCGTTGAGGGGAATTCGGAAAATTAAATATGCAAAATTGAGTGCTGAGACAACTAGTGGTTAGAATCTGTTGGAATGAACAGTCTTCTAACGTGAGGAGTTGAAAAAAACGTAGAAATTCAAATATTTACAATGGTGGGTTTCACTTCCCTAATTTCTTCTGAAACGGTGTTTTGGCATGCAGCGTGCTCCGAAAAATGTTTTCATTATTGCATAAGAATGTCACAAATCTAGATTTCGATTACGACGAGCGGGTTAGCAAACTGGTTGCTCAGTTCATTATGAAGTGAGACAACAAAATTCACGTCGGTTGCCAAAATGTATCACCTTTGCTACCTATGAGGGGTGAAGTATCGGCAGTGATCAACTGTTGAAGTCCAGAGGCATTCGATTTCGCGAAGCATCATCGAAGATAGTTTAATCCATATTTATCCTATAAGGTTTACTGATGCATAAAAACTATTACATTTCTCGCAGATAAGTTATCTCTTGTGCCAATATCCATATAGAAGGAGAGCTTGGTGAGCCTGGAGCGCGTGATCGAAGCAAGGACCAAGCCAGTGTGTACTGCATGTCACCACTCATTACTGCGCAACATACACGGTGTGTAACCTGTATCACTGCACCACCTGTCGTTCGGTTTTTTGTCGTGTGACTCCAACAAGCTCCTGTAAATTTTGCCAATGCCCCTGTGGTATGCAACAGTATCCTAGTGAGCTGTCCTCGCTATAAGTACATGTTGAGCATAATACTCTTTTTCTGGGGTCTTCATGGCGAAATCCAGCCTTTGGTTTGGTGGTTTTCCTGCAATGCATTTGACATCTCAAAGAATCCAGTCGTTAATAATTGTTGTCCATCGCTTGTCACTTAGATGCGTCACTTGTCTTGCCACACCTAATTTTCGACATATTGCTGGGCACAACCGTGTCTTCGGTCTTGCATCGTTAGCAACGGTCAGAACTTTGTATTCCCTATTTCACTTCTGTCGTAAGTATTTAATCCAGCCATCGTTCTTCTGACTGCCCATTCAATAACACTGAGTTTTCATCCTGTTTATGTAACGACCAGGTTGTTTACACGTGGATTAAGGCAGAAAAATCATGGAGTCGAAAAGGTGGGCATGAGGTTAGATGTTTCTTGACCTGCTCACAACATCCTGGACGCTCTTAAAACATCTCCAAGCCTTTCATTTTCACATGCTCGGCTCTGAACAGATATATGTTTATTTGGATATGTTCATTCTATTGGACATGAATGGGGCTTCAAAAAAACCCGTCCCCACTGCACATCGTCCTCGTGAGATTGAATAGAAAACGCGTCTTTCTATGGGCACTTTCGGTAGCGGCCAATATTAGTCCTGTCTGGTGATTATGAGAATAATATCACCAGCAACGTGAAGATGGCGTATATTCCTACCAGCAATTTTCATTCCCATGTCGGCTCATTCCAATTTTGATGAGCAGTAAATAATTTTAGCAGGATGGTATCATTTTGCCGAATTCCTCTCCTTACGTGGATGTTGGTTTCTTTATAAAATGGCTGTAACTCGGTTAATTACCAACTAACACAAGTGTTCACGCGCCAGTCGTAGTGCAGTGTTCTTCACTGACCATTGCGCATTCGAGGTATACAAAAAGCGCCATAGCTTTGATATGATGCAGTTCTTTCTTTTTTGGGATAATGTGGCAGCAGATAACAACAGATAATTAACCGGACTCTTGGCAAATGTTTGCTTTTAAGTGGAATTTCTGGTAAAAATATCGAACTACTTAACTGTGCTGACACCGTTGAAGGATAAAACCTCGCTATACCGCTCACACTTATTAACTCCAAACACTAGCTATCACAGAACAGAAAAAACCATAGATTTTGGTAATTTTAAAACGTAAAAATTGAATATGTTTGAACAGACTTTCCTAGGTGGCAAAAAATTTGAATCTCGTGGCTCGAAACGGACAGGCTATAGCTCTTGTCGGAGCATCAGGTTGTGGAAAGAGTACCGTGATCCAACTTTTGGAAAGATTCTACGAGCCTGACGCTGGAAATATTGTGGGTAGTTGCTCAGCAGTTTGTTTTGATATAGTATGTCTTTCTTGTGTTCTAAGAAAGAACGTGTAAGGACATGTCTTATGAATACCATTCCAGAAAATTGATGATTTGGTTTTAAACAAAATCTGCCGTGTTCATCTTCGTAACAACATAGCGCTTGTCGGACAAGAGCCAGTACTTTTCAAAGGTATCAAACAACTAATTTTTTATGACATTTATAAAACACTTCAGGAATTCAGGGTCGATACTTGAGAATATCACTCTTGGAATCGATGAAGAAATCAGTTTGACTCAGGTTCAAGAAGTGTGCAGGCAGGCTAATGCAGCAGACTTTATCGAAGCTTTCCCATCGGTAAGATGGTCATGGTATCAGTTTTCAAACCTGACAGATGTTTGCCGATCTAAATTTAGGGTTACGAAACCAATGTTGGTGAAAAGGGTTCCAATTTATCTGGTGGCCAAAAGCAAAGAATTGCCATCGCTAGAGCGCTGATTCGGAATCCGAAAATCATTTTACTGGATGAAGCAACAAGCGCTCTTGACACCGAAAGTGAAAAGGTTTACATAAGACGTTGAGCGGAATTGTCTATGATGATATTCATTAAAAACAAAAAACAATACCAGTAAATTAAAGTTGTAAAACTATAAAGTACATTTCAGATGGTACAAAAGGCATTAAACGAAGCGAGTCATGGTCGAACATCGCTAACAATAGCACATAGGTTGAGCACAATCAAAGGTGCAGACAGGTGAAAGAAGTTGATTACTTATAAAAGGGGAGAAGTATGCCAGTATGTGGTTCCTTTAACCAGCCGATCGTTGACTATCGCTGTACAGTCTTCCAAACACTAGCGATCCTAATCGGTTTCAAGCGCCACTCCCTTTCATTATTTGAACAATCTCCATTCTACATCGCACCAATCCATGCTTTGCCTTTGTAGGCTTACTAACATTCTTATCATATATTAATTCCCAAAGAGACGTAATATATCATAGCAAATGTATCTTGGCCTCTCGCTTCCTTTTCAGTGATATGATAGCTATCAACAATTACACTAAGAAGAGGTTCGAATACCTCGATTATTTCGCTGGTGGTTATATCCAGCCTGTATCTACATATCCTTATTTTGTACACCATTGTTGCAAAAGATGTATAGCACAGTGGTAGTGTTTTCCTTCGCCACGAGCACGGTGCTAGTTCGATTCCGCTCCGGGCCAACCAAACTCCGCATCCGCACGGCAGATGTGAAGACGCTTTATATAAAATAAATAAATATCACCAGCGTTGCTGCTTTCTTAAGAGAATTCCAAAACATCCGCACAGTCTCGTAGAAAGAAACTAGACTTGCCGAGTCAATTTTCAATAAATTGGATTGATGTTCTTGATATTTACGGTTAAATGATCCCCAGCAGGTTTAACATGGATTCACCTTTATCACATTCGCCATTCATAGACTAACCCACGCGCTCTCCAGTAAAATCTCTGCTCTTGCTCTTCATGCGTCAAAGCGCTCTAATGAGTCTTGTTAGTTAGATTTTAGAAAAAAAACTAGCCGCGAGTAGCTCGATTCGACCTGGTGAGTTACATATTTGCCGCGTATGGGATTCTCGATGGAAACTTGTAAAATAGCTGTGAGACCACAAGTAACTATTCCATCCCACTCAATTTTAAAGGTTCAGCAGAATCTCAAACCACCCTCCGAACTTTACAAAATATTCATCGTTATGCCTTAGCAAATATATGGGACTTGAAGCAGCTTTAAACTCATTCTGACTTCGCACATTGTAGTTTCTCCAATATATTATCGGAAGCGTTCCGCGCACGAAATCGAATTTTTTCTATTTTTATTTTATTTCATTTCACTTGACATGATTCATCTTCGCGTCTACTCTGCGGACCCCAGCACTTCCCATATTCGATTCGTTTCCTCGCATCCATTGTCCTCGAAGATCTTCCAACTTTACATGTGGCCTCGGTTGCTCCTTGAGGATTTCCATTCTATCTTGAACGTCGTAAAATACTGGTCGAGTAATTCTTCCTAGAGTTCTCAGATAGCCGTGCTGGAGCGCTCCCAATTGGATTGCAGAGAGTGATTTTTTCCCAGACAAGTCCGGAACGAATTTCTCGACCCTGGACGGATGAGAGGCTTAGTTGGCACTGACCGCGATTGAACTAGCGCCATTCTCATAATGACTAACACCACTACCACTGTGCTATCCGCCCTCTGGAAATCAAATAGACACTAATAAAAATGCTTGTATTCGTGTGATCTTGAATTCTGTCAATAGGATCATTCAGCGCGTTATGTAAAGGGCAAGCACATGTTGTTGCCTGGTTACACCATTCACGAGTCCACTGATCCACGCCGTAGGAATCGCTGTCGTCTAGGAACAGCACAACTTGCAAAGCAGCAAAGCATCGAAGTTCTGATCCATCCCAAACGGCTTACCGAAAACTAGGAACGCCGTAGTGTTAATATCCAGAGATTGAGTGGAGACCACGATCTTGTTTTCACTTTCACGAGGTTGCTTGAATTTTCTCATTGTTAGCCAAATTTTCATGAGTCATTGAACTGGCAACCTATATTCTTTTCTCTCTCAACAACCAATAATTAAAATGCGGAAAACGTCGAGCGTTCGAACTCCTATGCCTGATTTAACATTTGTTTGAGGTTGAATGACAAGAGTTTTCAAGAGTAGAATTCCATACCTGCAACTTGGCAAGTTGCTTTCCTTCGGACTGCGTGAACGACACCTACAACTCTCTCCTAGTTAAACTGACTCTCTGTATTGACCGCATATTTTATATGTTTGGAAGATATTCTATAGTGCATTTATTACTAAATCACTCTTCCCATGAGCTCTTTAGACTGGTAAGCTACACTAGATTTCTTAATGAAAGGTACTATCTTTGAAAACTGGTTCAACTTTGGTAATCCAATTAAAGATGATGATTTCGCTGGACAAACAGAGCTTTCATGAATTTGTCATCATGCAACAATCAGTTGCCTATTTACTTATACTTTAATACTTGAATGACCCGTCCTCACTAGTTAAGAGGACCCAAGCATAATCTCAACTTTTTCAGAGATTTGAGCCATTGTGATCCCTGGAGTCTCGAGGCCAGCTTGGCCAAAGTCTGCCCCAGGTCTTCACCACGACAGGCAGTCGCAGCCCTTGTAGATCAGAGGGAGATTTGCTACCACGCGCCTAGTTTGATACCAAGACAGTAGTAGATCCTGGTATTGGTTCAATCCTAGCTCAGTTTCCTAATGGAAACGCCGAGGTCCTTCTCAACTTTCGAGACCTTGCCAGGTGGACGAATCCCTCGCTCTAGATCGCAGTCCGACACCCAGCAACACCTCCCAGCCACGATAACGCAGTAAACCGTTAGAAGGAGTTGCCTTCTTAATAATAATAAACCCCTGCCAATGGAATTTTTTCCATTTAACTTCCACTCTTCTTCTATTGTCTATTTGAAAGAAAGCGAAACGAGTTAGGACATATTTTTCTTCGCTTTGAAACAAGAGATTTTTGAAAAATGCTTACTACTCGTGCAAGCTCCATGCATAGGCAAAGAAAGACCTGGCAAGATATCAGGGATAAATGGTGTGAAAAAAGGTATAACAACTCTCACTTCAGGTGATTGTGTTTCAGGATCTACTACATCGAAAACGGCAGCGTAATAGAGTACGGAACTCACGAGGAGCTTATCGAGGCAAATGGGAAGTATGCGTTATTAGTGGAAGCTCAACAACTTGGTATTACCGAGTGACGAACTAAAGGCAGAGAAAGATAGATCAATTGTACGTCTAAACAGTGATGTGCTGTAGATTCGTAGATTTTGCTTGCGTTGTCTATTTCTTGTTGGATAACTAGTTTCAAAAATTGTCTCAAGAAGTAAAACTGTAATTTGAGCACCTTCTGTAGGAAACGCTTCTATGATGCATTGCTTATTCTTTGAAGAAACACCACCAAGTAGGAATGCTAATTGTGGCAATAAAAATTCAACTGTTTAAACACCGCTTATGCGCAACAAACGTTTCAGAAAATGGATTGGTTGCGCTACACAACCCTTTCTTACCCACCACAGATTTAAACCTACAGTTATCCACGTAACAATTTTTCCGAGCACCTGGGCAAAGAGAACGTAATCACTTTTTATTTACTGACTGCTCTTTTTTCATGGCAAGGTATGATGTGAAGTATAACCAGAATGATTCTGCGATATTTGCAAAACTCCGGACCGCAAGTGTCTGCGGTGGAGATTGAACACGCCATTACCCTTTGAGGAAGTTAACGCGTTTACCACCACACACCATGCAGATCTTTCGTTTCGCATTTTTCTCAACCGTGTTTTAACTTATGGGTGCTATCAGCAATTACCCATCAACGGGATTGATCTCGGAAGCATAAATCGGCATTGAAACCAGTTAAGCTGAAGCTGTAGTACAAAGATCACATTGTAATATAACATGATTTATAGCAGTGGTAGCTAGAAAACTAGCTGAGAGAAATGCGAAATGAAGGATCCGCATGCTACGGTAGTGAACGCGTTAGCACCGGGAAAAGGTAACAGCGTGTTCGATCCCTACCGCTTACACCTTCGGTCCGAAGAGAACATATTTAACACAACGTCTATTTATTTGATCAACTGGACGACCAATTTTTGTGATGAGTCGTGGGCACCTCATTACAATTTCCTTCTACTGGTAATTTAACGATCGTGATAAACTTTCTATTTAGTGTCTTAAGACAAGAATGTTCAACATGTCGCCATCACAATTAGTCGCCCTGGCTGGCACTGCTTTACACTTCCCTTTCCAGATAGCTACGTCGAATTCCTTCTCAGCTTCAGAGACTCTTTTGTGGATAAGAACTGCCGCTGCACCTCGACACCAACGAACACCCAGACCACGATATGAGGTGGTGAATCATTAACCGTTCAGTGACCATGCGCATTAATCTCCACACGTATGCTAACGCATGCTACGGACCAGACATATTAATTTCAAGGCGCACGCTTTTTCCACGTTCATTTCGCCAAAGCGAAATTGGACGCGGACGTGTAAAGTTCTTGCTACACTCAGACAACACTTCAGTACTCTATAATACGTGGAGGAGCCGTGCTACTCTACTATTCTGATAGTAATGATCGATAGCGCAATCAATACTGCAAGTGCTTTTTGTCCTATAGTCGACTTTATCAAACAATACACTACTTTTAGGACAGTTCACACACTCCCATTTGGACCCGATAAGGTATGTTTACAAACTCTTCCCACAACAAATTTATTTCCATCCTTCTAAATTTTTACACACAAGTACCCTCTTGAATTTCCAAACATAGATGCAAATCCGGATCTTTTTATTTTGAACTACCTGCTGAACATTTGAGTTATAACATTACTTGGTACTTGATACTTGACCGGCCCGTCCTCACTGATTGTGCGGGCTCCAGCATAATTACCATTTTTCGGAGACTTGCTGGTTAAGCCACTGTGGTGTACTGGAATACCGAGGACAGCCTGGCCAAAGTTGCCCCAGGTCGTCATCACGACCACGAAGCAGTCGCAGCCCCTGTGGATCAGAGGGAGATTTACCACCATGCGACTTTGATACCAAGACGGTGGTGAATCCTGGTATTGGTTTACTCTCAGCTAGGCTTCCTAATGGAAATGCCGGACTCCTTCTCAGCTTGGGAGGCCCTGCCGGGGGGACGAATCCCCACGCTGTACATCGCAGTCCGACACCCAGGTACACCTCGCAGCCACGCTTAGACGGTAAACCATTGAGAGAGACTTATAACATTAGCAGCATTAATCACAATGTCGCCACTTTTTATTTACTGTCAGGGTGACTGACTATCATGAGTCAGATACGACCCATAACATAGACGACGAAAAAATAGACATTGGCCATTGGCTTAAACGATTTCAGATAGAAATCCATATACGACCAGATCAGCGACGCATTGCGCGGAACAAAGGAATCGTTTAACTCCTTTCATTGTTATGCAACCGTCATCCATGAAGGTGGTCATATAATATTTAGGATTAGCTTCCGGTGCAGTATATGAAAGTTGATTTCGTCTCTAACACCGCCTTCAAATTTCGCAGATCAGGTGAATTTAGACATCAAAAGAATCACGTAAACAGCCTTGAGGAACTCTAAGCGTATGCTCACTTCCCAATAGTTAACGTTGCTGCGACACAGTAGCTAAGAATTAATCCCTTTGATCGCGCGCGCAAACGCCTGTAGAATTCGGCCCACTGTAGAGAGAATGGCAAGTCTATAGAAGCACTGCTAAATATCTCTCTACTTCTGTTCAGCAAACACGAGGTGCTATTTTATTTCTTTATTTACGCACAAGCTAACGTTTCGGCAGATTTCGCCTTCCTCAGAGCCGCTTTCTATGAGTCTTCCATTGAGTATGTCGCGTGAAGACCGACCGCACAGAATTCACATGGAAGCGTAATGTCACATGCACTGCTAAATGTTGGAAAAGTAATACTGCATTCGTCGCCAACCCAGAATATGGTGACCGCCGTTGAATTATCAGTAGACATGAAACAGTGACACCGAAGCATTGCCTTGTCTGTTTTTCCATGCGTTAGTAACAAAATCTATGGTAGCGTTTCAGATCAGTGAAGCTGGAGCCCTTTCATCCGCTCTTGCTATAAAGATAGATTTCTTCGATTAATCACGAATCAACATCAGACATGGTTCACATGCTGGTCGTGAGAGACTATCAAGAATTACGCAACAGTATGCACAAACAGAGTGCCAAAGCCGTAGCGTAGCGGTTAGAGGTGCCCTACAATGCAGTCTGGTCTTTGGTTGGATTCCGCGTCCTAGGTTCACAAAACCTTCCATACCTCCGGGATCGACAAATCGGTACCAGACCTGTCTAGAAGGATAGCAGCGCCCCTCGATAGATCGGCAGGCCACCACGAGTTATTGTACAAGCGAGATATGCATTCAGTGACCTCGAACGATGCTTAACGAAGTCGAATGTATGGCCTATCGCTCAAAGATTGATCAAGATCGAAAGCTTTATCGTCTAGCTTTACGCACAAGTAGTGAAACGATACACGTCTGAAGCAACCTAACATGAATGGTGGTATAATTACCAGCTGGTTTTCGAAAAGTCGTAGCACAAAACGTGCTCCCATCAATAAAGATATTAAATGTACAGAATGCAACGACACATTTCAATAAATCTTCCATCGTAACGCAGTATTTTACCAACAGTTAACACTGTTTTAACACAATGCCAACGCGAAGATCCACATCGGAGGAAGAAACAACTGAGAGCAATCGACTCGGATCAGACCAACTCTGAAGAAGACGAAGACGTCGAAACGTTAGTCGAATAAAGCTCGTTATCAATCTTGTGTTGGCTTATCAATGAAGGAGTTAACAAGGTATCCGAAAAGGGTTTTAGAAATTAGGCGCACGTTCACAACAAGATAAAAGAAAGTTTCAACTCACACGTACTTGTCCTTTACTACTTCACCCTACTGAAGTTGTTAAAAAAATAAAGGACAAAGCTCTCGGCGTTGATCAACCTCTGAGGGATACGATATGCATTCCACTTCACGCAGCATAGTTGAAGGTGATTGGATGCAAATATGGCCCTTACAATGACTCGGGGTGGTCTGCTGATGTATCGAACCAGTGCTCCTATCCTCCCAGACAAGTCTGGTAGCAATTTGCCGATCCCGGAGGGATGGAGGGCTCGGTGAGCTTGAGGTGCAGGGATTGATCTCGTGCATATTGCAGCGTGCACCTAAAGTTGTTACATAGAGGAAGGTAGTAGATAATGGGACACAGTTCATTTCATTAGTAATCGATAAGTCCATAATGTTATCTTTTCAAAGATTGATGCTCATATTGTAAGGAGAAATGCGGTGTTCACACATTCTGGCACCACCACTTTGTACTTCTTGGACGTCTTTCTTTGGGGGTTAGTCGACACACACAGTGTTCATGCTTAATAAGCAGTCCAGTCTAAGTGCAGTTCTGAACAACGAAGCGTTAAGAAGGGATTCTGCGACAACATGCCTATAATCACACAGTTCTAAGGACGGGTTGAAACACCTGACGCAAATATACCAGTAGCTCTACTACCACGACGACCGTCGACACATTTGCTGAGAAATGGAGAACTTCATAGCGTAACCCCAGATCGATTTTGATTCTATATGTTCCCGTTGTCAGGCTACTGCGTGAGTAGCTATAACGCATGTTACAGCGATCAGCGGTGACCATGTTTATCCGTCGGAGGCTTTTGAGGTTTCACGAAAGACGGCAGTATTGTCAGTTTCTCAGGAATCGAAACACTTATTGCTTGTGCTTTACTTCTTCATCACCGCAATACGACGTTACACAAGTGTGGGAAAAATGGTCTGGATTTAGGAATATTTCAGTCTCCTGCAGCACAGCTACAACAGATTTATGCAGATAATCTTCGGCTTCGCAGGCTCTCGTTCAGAAGGGAGACGAAAATATCGGACGAATTTCTAGCAACGGCGCTATCTTCAGCGAAATCAGAAGGCAGCGTAACAGAGTATCCGTAGACAGAGCATTTCTACCCTCCATGTCCAAAGAGAATCACCAATTTCATCCTGCACTGGACCCCGCTAGCACGTCAAACGCTCAAACACGAACAATCGAACACTGCAAAAAGTTACGATGGTTCACGGTCCAGATCAACACATGACAAACAATTACAATGGCCAAATACAACTACTAATAATTTAGCTGAATAGAAATTTTCATCATCTTCGTGTCATCAAATTCTTTCACCAGCGAGAAATACATGTTAAGTATAATGAAGCTGGTAGATGACAATGCAACACAGCGATGGACATTGTGCTAGCAACCGCCCAGAAAAACTACCGCAAGCTATTCAGCTAAGAATTGAAAGAGGACCACGCGAAGCAGGTCTTCGAACACTAGCGTTCGTTTCTTTCAGACGACACTTTAAAACGATTCTGAATGCACTTAGCCAAATCACAAACAAATGGAATTGCAGAAACACGAACGAATTCGCCACGAACTCGAACATTGCGGTGTCCGTCTAGTTGGCAGTTGTTGTGTAGCTTCTGCGCTCCAGTACGAAAGCGTTAACCGCCACGCGAGCCGTTACCTTGCGCCGTAGTTTAAAGGCTTGTCGTTTTGTCACCCTTTAAACTGTTGGCGCTTCCTTTAAGATCAGGTAAATCTAAACCTCCTTTGGAAGGGTTAACAGTTTGTCCGCCCTAATGATGCTCTTGCATCTCGTGTGGCTGAGGTCGATGTTTGGACGTCTCCATACGAAGTACACGTTCACGTCATCATGCCGATTTTCGCCCCCTTCCACAGGCCAGGTGAAAACGCTAAGCGGCTTTCCCCCTTGATTTAGTTACACCCTGGCTGCTCTCTCCGCTAGTTATGGTCAAGTAGAGTTTTGTGCTTAATTCTATAAGGAATCAATACTGAGTTCTTTCCAATATGAATTGGATTCTGGAAAGTTCTATATATATATAGGCATGACGTCTCGTGTTCGGTTGTACTCGAAACCGGTTGAAGAAGACTCTGAATACGATGAGGACAATCAGCGGAAGCTCTACGAAACTGAGCTGAACGAGGATGAACTTCACGAGGTGTGTGGCCGAGTGCTTTTCGTATGAAAGTGTCACAGAAATCGCGATATTTTTGTACTGTACTATTTCCGAATAAAGTTTGTCTTAGTGAATTCGAACTTTCAATGTAGGAATTGCTTTGTGGTGATGAGATCTCGGATGCAGCTGATGTTGGTGAACACAATGAGATGGAATATCTCCCTGAGCATGCTGTATACAAGGCGTCCACTACGAGGTTAGTTTCATGCTGAAAATCCCATAACAGTTATCAGTTGAGTTTCGGTTTTTCGTCACATTCTGAGCAAACATATGAAGTAAACAAAGAAATGAATGGATAATTGCCTCTGATATCAAGAAATACTAGTGGACGCGTGTAGCACAGTAGTCGGAGACGCTCTACAGCACACACCTGGAATCGATACCCACCCCCATGGCCCACCAAGCCTTCTATCCCTCCGGGGTCAGCAGATTGGTACCACACTTCTCTGCGAGGATAGCAGCACTGGCTCGATACATCAGTAGGCCACCACGAGTCATTGTGAAGGTCGGTGACGCATCCAATCATCTACGATGCTCAGAGAAGTCGAATGTATTGCGCATTCTTCAGGTATTGATCGGCGCCGAGAGCTTTGTCGTTTATCCTTTTATCAGGAAATACCATGCTCTCTATAGGAGTTTCTTTTACATTATCTCTCCAATGTAAATTTAGACGTGTAATAAAGCCACGAAAGCGTCGTCGTGCCACCGAGAAAGACAGCAGGCTAGACCACGAGATTGATTATACGGCCACGAAGTGAGATCGAGTTCTGAAGTACTTTTTTCCCTCTTCACTGGGATACTGTTCATTCCTGTCTAGTTACTATCATCGTTACAAGAATAAGTCGTATGTGCGGAGGAACGACGTCGGGAAATACTGCCAAGTATGCAAGGCAAAGCGACTGGGAGTACGATCAAGAGGTCTTCCAAGTGACCTACAGGTATGACTATATGATTTTTTGGGGCCATCACTCCACTTATAGGTAGCGCACAGTTTTCTTTTCTTAATTTACAGCTTCGTAAACTGTGGATTTTGCGCTTTAATTTGGAACCCGAGCGAGCTGCTGAGCTGTGGGTGAAGGACGCGTTTTCTGATAATTCACACAGTGGCGAAGTTTGCTCGATTCACTTCCCGGAGTACGATGATGACCTTCGTACTTGTCGCGAATTACTTCCACTCGATATGAGGCCACCACATGTGTGTTTTTGTGTTCTGTCCGATGGCGATCGTTCTTTGAGAAAATTTCTTTTAGTTGATTAGCAGTAATGCAGACGATGTGGATTTTGGCAATATGGTTCTCACTTGTGTATTCTGTAGTTCCCGGAGAACTTTGAAGTCCATGATTCCTTTTGTTAGAGCACGTTCTCGTCGTCGTCGTTGGATCAGCGCTCTTAGCAATGGCGACTCACAGTGTGAGAGGTGAATGACAATGTGTGTCTTTTGTGTTGTTGTGTGTGTGGTTTTTTAATAGTTTAAACGAGAAATTCTATGGAAGCATGTGGAAAAATCGCTACTGGTTGTTGACCAGTATAGCGTTTTGTTGAATTTTTTTATTTTTAAAACTGTAGGGGTTAAAAGTCGATGTTGAAAGGTCTTGAGAGGGTGCCAACTAGGTCAGTGCAAATATCTGATCCATCTATATGAAGACGAAAAGACCAAGGGTACTGTATTTGCCAAAGTCACTTGAAAACCTCTCGACGCTACATTCTTCGCTAGCTAATCATGGTCAATTTTGGGTGTTTTGGTGATGTTTAACCCATTTTCCATGTTGTTATATGTGTATCGAGTACTTTTGGAAATGGTCTTCATATAACCTTCGTTTATAGTGAGCTCCGTGAAGCGCTGAAAAATGGAGCGACTAAATTTCTGTGTGACTGGCATTTTGCGGATAACTGCTTCTCTGTAAACACTTACGGTGAATGGAAGTTGAGGAAGGATGCTTTACCAAATCCTACTGTAAGTATGTTCTAACATTTATTTTAAGATGACATCTTTCCTATATTTCAATTTTCAGCTAGAGGAAAACGAGCGTACTAGTATGCGTGTCTATATGATCAACCACCTTGATTCAAAAATTCAAAGAGAAGAGGAATTAAGACGGAGACGGATCAATTTTCTGATGCTCAAAAAACATGCTAAAGAGAAAGTAAGTGAACATCTAACGCCTTTATCGATGTGATCTTCCAAGAGGTTCACATGAAGTGGGGAAGAAGAGTTCATCGTTTTTTTTAACCAGTTTTTTACTGTTCTATGTAGCTCTTCTGTTCAGGAACGAGTGGATAAAGAAAACACCCGTGCTGTTATTGACAAAATGCGCCGAACCTTTCCAGGACTGGCCTCAGTTGGATTGAATGACCATCATGTATATAACGATCATGGCTCTTCAATATACAATTCTGCAAGTCATGGACCTCAGAGAAGCGATGAGACCTGCTCTTCCAACTACATCGAAATAGATCCTGACATGCCATTGCTTTACGCGGATGAAACTGGTAATTTTTTAGAACAGTTTTAGATTCTTGCGCAGCATTTTTTTCTGCTTAGTATCTATCTATATTTGTTTATTTTCTGGAAGTCAAGAGGTACCGAAAATGTCCACACTCCAACTGTTGCTCTTATTTTGATTACTTTTGTGCTGTTCCGGCAAGATATATCATAATAGCTATGTTTACTATGACTGTGATAGCTGGGAATTCCAAGCTATTCCTTATGAGGAAGCTATTTTTTTGTTGTATTTGTTGTTTGAAAAGTTCTTGCATCATTCAAGGGTGCCGCTTGAAATTATTTGTTTTTCATACGTACTATGAAATTTTTTGATGAAGGAGAGCAAGAGGCGTTTTAAAAATTCATTTTTAACTGTTTCATAGTTGTGGGCTCCGGAAGATTTCTGGATATCTTAAGTGGTTCAAAAGTATTCATGGAGCAAATTAGGGTTTCGGCGGTGTGCAAGCTGCTTAACGTTTTTGATACTTACTGGTCGCGATTAATCCGATTGGAGTGGTCAACGAGAACATACCAAATAGAGGGCCTTGTTTCGGTGGCCTTTAACAGCCGGTTTTGTTCTATATTCTTTCACCCAGGAGTGCTGTTTTGCTCTAGCAAAGATTGTTTTAGAGATGGAAAAAAGGTGGCAAAAAAGTGGAGTACCCATCACTCTTTAAACTTTTTTTTTCAAAATTAGGTTCTGTCTCTATGAAGTCATTCCTTTCCCCAGTCTCTCAGCTAATTCTATCGATCTTTTGCTATCAGCAATCACTCGTCAACGGGATTGATCTGGGGAGCCCAAATCGACATTTAACCCGCATAGTGTGGTTGTGAACGCGCTACTACCCGGAAAGGACAATAGCGCGTTTGTTCTCCACCGCTCTTGATTTCAGTTCGCTGCATAGATTTCACAAAATAGAGTAAAAAAGTGGTATAACATTTTAATTTCTTTTACTGCTTTATTTAATTGCTATCCAAGCAAATGGTGGCTGCCACGTCGCTCTTGTACAAACAATTCGTTATCTTTGGACCACATTAAGGAGAAAGTATAACTTTATCATAATTTACTCATTTTTTTCAGTTACTGCCTATTCCTTGGCAAAACCCTGGACCGCAGATGTTTGCGGTGGAGATCGAACTCTCTGCCATCCTTTCCAGGGGCTAGCGCGTTCACTACCACAGCGTGCGGGGCCGTCGTTCCGCCTTTCTCTCAGTCGTGTTTTAACCTATGGTTCCCTTTTTCTTCATAAACATAACTTTATCATGCACTGTTTGGTACGAGCGGTAGAAATTTATCATCTTTAACAGACAAGCTTCTCTTTCACCTAGTCATAGATTTATATTGGACCGCCACAAAGGCTCTGAAGAGTATATAAGCAGGGTTTTTTTTTCATAAATAGGAAAAATGCTTTTTGTGTTGTTCGCTGTAGAATGTTGAGTGAGTCATGCAAATGTTCATTAACATGCTGTGACAGTGAGATGTTTCATATCTGTGAAGTAGAGAATTGCGTTAAGGCTCACTTTTTTGGCTAGTTGAAGAACTAAACTAATAACTAGTGCAACAATAAAGCAAGGTTCTATACACAAACGCACAAACGCTGGGCGTTGCACCTCAGCCAAGACGCAGCCTTATTGTTAGGTCAGAACCGGAATATACACTTTTTTCCAAGAAGACAAAAGTTCGTTTATTCCGATAGGATAAAGTTCTAGAGTTCTAGAAACTACGGTTCTTAAAAGGCGTTTTCAGCGGCAATTTTTCTACTGAGAATTTTCCCTCAGAAATTGCTTTTTGGAAAAGTGCTTGTTTTCGAATTTGAATGTGGTGTATATGTATGCGTAAAATACGGGAAAGTGGCAGCTTCGTACTGTAGCAGAGCTGTACATTTTCTGTTGGCAAATTTCAGTTATTTGCACCACAGTTTTAACTCATTTCGTCAGTTTTGTAGGAGTACTTCTTTTCTATGGTCGTTTTGCAGTATTTCACTAAGTCGTGAACAATTAATCAGCTTCATACTATCAAGTAGTCACCACAACCGTTATTTAGTGAAAGTCAGCTTTGATTTGTCTTTAAGAGCCCTACTCGTACAGAGTCAAGTTCTCATAGCTCGGAAGTAGGAAATTAGAAAAGTGGTTCACAACACAATAGAGAAATACGTTTGTTCTGTGTTGTTAAAGAAGTGTAGGGCGGATCATGATGATTGCTGACAGTCACTTTCAACTTTCCTCTTTTCCGAACTTATCTCCGCTACGAAAACGCCAAAACGTTTGCTTACGGTGCTCTCGGGAGCGCTTTTTTGTCCATGCTTTAATGAAGTTCTGAGTTGCCTCTGCGATGGTATACCCAAATTGGATTTCGTGAGGCAATATGGTATGATCTTCATGCTTTGGGATCATCACACCAAGGCTGTAGTCATCGCAAATTAGTTTTTCGAAAATAATTACCCAACAAACAGCCAAGGAGTAGATATTAGCAGATTTCTCCGTAAATTTGATTCATACTGAAGAAACCCCTATTGGGAAGTGTAGTATTCAGAAATGTGGTGCTGTACACACATGGTCGATCGTTCGACCGCGAAATGTGCCAAGAAAGTCTCTCCTGTCTGTAGATTCTATAGAATAGTACCAGAATTGTCTAGAGAAACTCCCTGCAATCCAATGGACGACTAGTTGGTGGAGATCAGTGAGTATTCCAGTGAACTACCGTACATTCTAGAGAGAATCATCTCCAGCACCATTCAACGGCATTCATGAGTGAAATTAAGTACTCAGCTAGCAGTATAACAATATCCACACCCAAATTCCAAAATTTATGGACGACGGATGAAGAACGGAATGAAAGAAGTGTTGAGAATCGAACAATTTGTGGAGGCTGCTCATGCAAACCGAAGAAAGGTTATTTTTTTCATCAACCTTATGCGAAAGTTCTAAAGGATGTATGGTCTCTGCCAGGGAACTCAGGTCAAATAACAAGTTATAAGATTCCAAATAAAAAGTCCCAGTAGTGCAGATGGCTTCCTACCGTCAATGCCATAAAAAATGATAGGATTGGCATTCTTCGCCCGTGCATTCCGTAACTTTTATGTGCTTACATGACCTCTATAGGAGTCATTTGTTAGGGGACACAGTGACCAGTATGATTTCTGTAGAGATCACTTTGCTTTCGGTTGCTGCTTTTGGCACGTGGGAATTCTTTTTTGATTTTTTTAGCATATTGACAAAATGACTCCCATATTGCTCATACCGGCCACTTTGCAGGTGGGTTAGAAGCCACTAGTTTATACGGGCTCTTGAATAACGACCGTTCGCTTGTGCGACATTTAAACAGCAGTCGTATAGAATGCATCGTACTACTTTTTTTTCAACATGCTTTGGCTTTCTCTTCTATGTATTGGTGTTGTATTTTTTGGTGATAGTGGGTTTCTTCATGGATCACGGTACTTATATACATTTAACGAAGAAATATAAAATTTGTGAATTATTAGAAACATTAGATCATGGATCTTCCATCATTTCAAAAATAATTGGAATGACACCATGGAAAATAGGGAATATACAACTATGCCTGTCACTTTTTTTCTAAGGACGGCGGCATTGTTCATTATTGTCAATTAGCCATCTGGTAGTAGAAATTGATGTTCAGAAGTTCAGCTGTGCTTAATAAGTAGATTAGTATATGTACAATTTAGATTTAAGAAATCTTCTCTACGATATTTATGATGCATCACCCTATTTATGAAGTAGCTCTGAACTGAATCATTGTGATGGTTTGCTTTATAGATGGCCTACAGGAGAACTACAATCAGGAGCCTACAACATCTACTAGTGCTCTTGATGTGGACTATTTCGAAGATTATGTAGAAACAGACGTTGAGTATTCAGATGATAGCGATTTTGAGCTGGAAATCATTAGGAGGGTAGGTTTTTTTTTCAATTTACGATAAAGTATAATCTAGCCCTTCTTTAGATGCAAAGCAGTGTCAACGTTGTTGTGTCCAAAGCACGTCATTGCGTGTTCTGTCATGTTGTTGTATCATCAGATAAATCAAAGACACAGCATCGACCGCGTACATGGCCATACGATGAGTATGTCTACCGTTTATCTTGCCTTCTAATTTTGCTGTTGTGTAGAATTATATTAAGTGTGAAACACGAAAAATATTTATCCATAATGCGATGGCCTAAGCAATTCGAAGAAGAAATTCGTCGCCTTTGGGTTAGACGACGTATAGAGCCGCTCAGTGTGTCACCTGGAACTGTTTATAAGTATCCAAAATTGACTATTTGTCAAGGACATTTAGAAGATGCGGTAACTACATTTTTATTAGCAAGTTTTTTTTTCTTTGAAAGAGTGATGTATTTATTAGGGTGTTCTTGGACGTGCTTTAGGGTATCCCTGAACAAATTGAGTCATGGTTGTCCAAGTACTGTGTGCTATGTGATGAAGAACTCGGCGATAAGAACCTTCTACTACCTTTTCCTGTGGAACAAAGTAGTAGGTAATCCATTGCCTCTTTCCGTGTTTCAAGTTCATGTTTATGAAAGCAACATACTCCTACATTGTATCACCACGTTTCAGAATTTCATGGGCGAGAAGCCTTTTTTCGAAGAAACCGTGTAATACTCTTCTACAGAAACAGCAGCAATGGGTAAATTTTGGTTCCTAATTGGACTTTGGGATATCTGGTTATGACTACAATTATTTGTTATCTGTCATTTCCAGCTTCGTGAGCGATTAACACGTGGTGCAGCTACTCACTACCGTCTGTGTCTGTTCCACTTCCCTAAAACAAGTTTCATCGAATCACATGACTGTTTTTATTTCGAGCAATCATCTCAGCCTCTCAGCCTAGTTCGTTTGATCTTATTAACCAATGGGGTTTTTAGCTAAGGTTAACTGCTAACACTATTCTTACAGTTTTACTTTAGAATATATGCCAATATGCGAGAATCCCTCGTGGTCCTCACGGTGTAGTAAAATGCCCTCTTTGCGACACATGGAATATTGAGTCAGAAACTACACAGATCCGCACACCCAGAGGAGCAGCTGAGCGAAATTTCCTTGTTGAAGTCCTTATCAGCGGAGATAAACCGGTACAGTGTAGTCGTTATGTAGTTTGTAACCGTATATAAATGCTATTATAGTTTCTATTGGTATTATATTATATTGGTGAAAAAAATATAAAAAAATATATTAAAATATTGGTGAACTGAGTGAATATCAGTGGTGTTTAAGTTTTTGTGTTGGACTCCCAGTTGAGTCTGGTACCAATTTACCGACCACGGAGGGATGGAAGGCTTAGCGAGCCAGGAGCATGGGATTGATCCCATGTGTATTTTAAGGTGCCGCTAACCACTGCGCTACATGCCCGAGAGTTACTTTCATACCAGGAAGAATCATCTTGTTAATATTTCTTCGGTGTACACATTATATGTCAGTACAGGATGAAGATGGAGTCTGAGAACTGACGAGATCAAAGATCTGAATTTTGCAGGGAAAACTTGATATATAACTTTTCCGTCCTACCTAAGTTGACGATTTGCTAAGCAGATTATTTAACAATTAGAAGCATTATGCTAGAAGGCGTTGATTAATTTCGATTTTTTCGTATTTAGAGTGACCAGAATGTCATAATGCTGGATGACTTCCTCCACTTTGCGGTACCTTTTCGCCTGCGAATTTTTACTACCTCTGGGAACATGTTATCTAACTCGAGCTTATTATTTGAAGACAATGCGACCCTGTTTCGATGCACTAGTTGCGATGTTGTTCAGCACTGGTTCTGCTTAGTAGTGTTTCTGGTGTCGGTTTTACTAACACGTTTCATGATGTACAAAAGGAGCATCTTATATCCATCACTAGCAAATTTTTGTGCCTCTGGAGCCTCTGAGTTTTCAAGGAAGGCTTCAAACAAAAATTTAGGTTTTTACTGTAAGCTCTCCCTAGGTTGTGCTTCAGTTTATCGAGAGATACTACAGTTTGTGGAGAGCAGCAACAAGTCCTTAGATGCGCAGTGGTCTTAGGCGCCCTGCAGTACACACGGGATCGATCCCCGTGCCACAGTCACGCCAAGCCCTCCATTCTTCCAGAGTCGGTAAATTGGTACCAGACTTGTCTAGAAGGATAACAGCAGTGGCTCGATACATCAGTAGGCAACCGCGATCATTGTAAAGGCCAAGTATGCATTAAATCACCTCCAAAGGATGCAGAATGTAGTCCGGTGCTTGATTCATCAACGTCGAGAGCTTTATCATTTTATCCTTTGCATATAAACATATATTCCATATTACGTCATTCTAGTACTTCTATTACCTAGTTCCACTTTCTTTCCTAAACTTCCATTTAGTTCTTGTAGGATACATTAGCGTTGTTGGTTCGGAAATACGTAAGTTGAGTCGCTATTCTCTTCTACTCTATATATATATATATATGTATATATATATATATATATATATATATATATATATATATACGTGTACATGTGCAGGGCGCGTGTGACGCAGTGGTTGGAAGCGCCAGTGCGGCACACGTGGAATCGATCCCAACGCCCATAGCCAACCAAGCCTTCCATCCGTCCCGGGTCGGAAAATTGGTACCAGACTTGTCTGGGAGTATAGCAGTACTGTATCGATACATCGGTAGGGCGCCGCAAGTTATTGTGAATGCCAGATATGCATTCAATTGCTTCCCAACGATTTTTAATGAAGTCGAATGCGTAGCGCATCCCACAGTGATAGATCAACGCCGAGAGCTTTATCCTTTTAATATACATATACAATAGTTAATTTTTTAAAAACTTTTCGCTGATAAGAAACATGTTGCATATATAAACATTCGCATATATGTATTTATATGCGTATGTACATATATATGGATATGTATATGTGTGCACATGTATGTATAAATCTATATATGCATGTATATATATATATATATATATATATATATATATATATATATATATATATATGAGGGAATGGCATCAAATAACTTACTAATTTTCAGACACTCCGAAAGGGCGTGGGAAAGTTGTCTGCGGAATCGTCAACCATTTGTAAGGTACACTTACCTGATTTGGTAGGTGACCAGAATTGTTCGTATACTTTATTTCTTTTTCATTCATGAATTGTTCCATTTTTCTATTTCATTGCTGTATTTTCGTTCATTAGGAATTGGTAACCTTAGGGCTGTCAAAATGTTGGAGTAGACCTGTGGAAGTATTTCGAAGTGAAATTACTTTTCCATTACTGCTCATTGCAATTTGAAGGATCCCTTTGAACTGATAGCAGAGCGAAAACTGGTCGCTTCCGTCACAGTGCAATGTGTAGTATGTTCGAGGTATGATCTTGCACAAAATATGACTCCTTTTCCATATGACGCTGCGAAACGGACTATGTGGGTGGATTCTATGTCTCGTAGAAGAGGGGTTCGTTCATTTTATTTTCAACTTCATTAAGAATATTAGCCTTCCTAACGAAAAAATTAATTTGTTTTTCCAGAACCGAATGCGTCTGCTAAATCGGTTGTCACTGGAAGGACGGCATTACATTTGTCCCTGTCATTTCCATCCTAATTCACTTCGGTATAGAATATGTTGTGTTTGTTGGTTTTACCATATACCACCAATGAGTAGTTGATTTTCCTTTCAATGTGATGTCATAGCGGCAATTCTTTTTGAAATATTTTAATTTTTAGATATATTCCTGGACTCGGTATTTTCAAGAAACTATATTTCCTCCCTATCCCTGACCCTAACGAGCAACCTATTACTCATGTGCCAGAGCCACAGGTTTGGTCGATTTTGCCTTCGTACTCCTTTATAACTCTTTTTCTTTAATGTGTTTACTGAAGTCGTCTTCTTTTTTTCTTTCCCTTATTAATGACTAGATTAGTTCATGTTAAACGTGAGTCTGAGTGTGATTAACACTTGTGATGAATGACACCTATAAGGAATGGTTTTACGGAAGTGGCCGATCAGACCTATAGGTCTCATTTTCTTTCCGGTGGTTTATTTTCACATGTAGTTATACACATAGTTTCACATGTCTATTTTCCTACACTTTTTTTTGTCTACTATTGACAGCATGTAGAACAAAGATCTTGTGTTAGACGTTTGTCGGGAAAACTCAGTTATAGAAAAAAAGAAGAAATGGACAAAAAGATTGGTGCATTTCAATATTATGCATATATTTGTGCTATACGTATAAAAAAATTTCAATTCTAATTGCTAAAATAATTGATAGTTATCCTGTCGAGTGGGCGGTTGTAAAGAACACTGAAGTGAAGACCCATAAGTTGCAGAACACTTAGAAGTGTTGGCAGTAATGTACCTGTATGATGAACCATAGTAGAATTTAGTAGATAACATCAGAAATATCATTAATACTTGTTGAGCGATGGAGCGAAGCCTTACATATAATCCATTCATGTTTGCAGCCCACGAAGTCCTCAAGTTTTGGGAAAATTATTGTTCATGTTCAAGAAACCAGCAAGTTCATAAAGGCTGAAAACTACGTGTCGTCCAGTTCTCAACAAGCCCGATAGGCAGCAATACAAGAGTTCACATTTGTCCAACTGGATTTTTACGTGAATCTCCAAACATCGCTTAGAAGAATTATAGTTAGGTGGAGCACACGATCGAAGCGATCGTAAGAAAATGGAAGTATGCATCAACAGGGGATTGGGAGGATTTGTGTAGTGTAAGAAGATAAACCATATAGCTAGATTATGAAGAATGTCCTATACAAATATGACCAAGCTTTAGATGATTTTGTGTTGTACATCTCTTCTACATTTCTACTTAATTCTAGGAAGACGATTACATTCCCCTTCTTGTGGATGGATTTGACAACGAAAAAGTGCAATGGCATTTGAACTATGATAAAGTCACAAGTATCGTAGGAGACATCGATGATGAAGTTAGTGGTGAAGTCACTGAACATTCGGATGCGTGTTATGATTTATATTTGGCCGAAGAAGAACAGGAAACTCAGGATCATGATGAGGTGGTTTTCTGTTTCTATTTTGTGGAGATGAGATTTTATCTGTTGTTTTAGGGAAACACAGGCATGGTTGTGGATGAAATGGATTATGTTTACCAAGAAGAAAATGTAGAGCGTGAAGGAGAGACGGATGTTGACGTTACACATAACGGTGGCTCCGAGATACTGGTTGAAGGAATACCTACTCCTTATAGAGAAGAAATTGTTGTAACGCAAAATTTGGAGTGATTCCTGTGCAGTATTTTTTGAAAGCATTTTTGTTCTTCCCTATTAATTTCTTCTGCCCCTTAACTCGTGAAAAGTGGTATGAAATGTTTAGTGTTTATAACTTATCGCGAGCTGAACATTGTTTTCATCAACATCTTTAGTTTTCGTTGTTGTATTCCTGCTGCTTGGTATTTATTTGTTGAGCTATGAGCAAAATAAAAGTGATGATTTTAAGTTTTGTAAAGATTTCCACGTTTATGGGACGTTCCTGTATTCTTTTCTCCCGTCCTTATATATCACTTCTATCACTCCGTTTCAAAGACATTGGTCCTTATGTAGAGTAGAGTAGATTACTTCTGTTGAGATTAATCTCCAAAAGACCTTCGTTAAGATTACATCATCTAAGTGGTTAAGGGTTATCCGTTGAAGTTACCGATAACATTCATGTCAAAATGTCCCTTTACCGACAATTTCTGGAATGTTTAAACTGGATTTTTTTGAATTTACTAAATAATTGGAGGTTGGGAGAGTGAAGCAGTGTTTTCTTCCCAAGGGTTTAACAAAGGTTGTGTATTACGAACGGGTCGATAATGTCAGGATCGAGGTATATCGAAAAGTGTGGGAGGTTTTTTTTTACAGGGAATAGGTGGTTGTCCCTCCACCAACCTGATTGTTCATCGATTGATCAATGAACGTCTTGAGGTGAGATGAAGACTGCCGGTGCCCGGATTTCCTATACTTGTTTTTTCCATCATGTACAATAAACAAATTCCTCGCAACGGTTTACTGCCTCATTGTGGCTGGGAGATGTTCCCGAGTGTCGGGCTGCGATGTAAAGCGCGGGAGATTCGTCCCCCCAGTAGGCCTCCCAGGCTGAGAAGTCCGAGGTTTCCATTAGGAAGCCTAGCTAAGAGTAAACCAATACCGGGATCGACCACCGTCCTGGTCTCAAAGTCCCATGGTGGGAAATCTCTATTTCGCAAGAGCGGCGACTGCCTGTGGTGGTGACGACGTGGGGAAGGCTTTGGTTAGGCAGACGTCGGGGCTGTAGTGAACCACAATGGCTAAACCAGCAAAAGTCCGAAACAATGGAAATTATGCTAGAACTTGCACATCTAGCGAAGACGAGACATCCAAGTATAATGACCAAATCCGCTGAAGAATTTCCTGGTGCCGTGTCTTAAGAATGTCTATGAAATATGTGACAATCTGGTCATTCTTAATGGATGAGCTTTCTGTTCTTTTTGGCTCGAATCGAAATGAGAGTTTATGTAGCTTTATAAAGTATGCTTATTCTCATCATTGTGTTATGCTTCCACACCCACCTTAGAGTGGTATTGTGTGTGTAACAAGTAGTTCGCTACAGTAAGAAGACAATTGGTTCTCTGAGTCTGGTCAGGTCTCTGTTGTTGGCTCTCCTACGGCCGTGACGTCACGTCGTGTCATTTGTGGTGGTCATCGTGCCTCCTGCGTCCTGCTATCCTGGGTCCGCTCTGAGGCACTTGGAATAGCTAGCTGATCGATAGCGAACATGCACTGCTGCGTTTGTCGCGCATCCTAAAATTAACCCTCTCAACGCTGCATTTTCACTTCTGTTCCGATTAGAATGCGAATGCTTACACCAGAAGTGCTGAATCGTGCCGCCACACTGACGAAAACTGGTAACTTTCGAGTCCTTTGCGAGTACTAGTCCTACTCGTGAACATAATCACTTGTTGCCGGCGGCACATGCATTCATTCTGTAGACTGTAGTCCTTTTCCATTCTTTCGTCTTTCACTCGATTTTTTTCGAACAGATCCATATTTTCTTCAGGTTCTGGAATGGCGTTCACGTTTGCCGCGTTTGCCTATCTTATCGCGCTGATAGCGGTCGCGTTTTGTATCTTCTTTGCAATATATACAGTATGTTAACTTTTTATTTACTACCAATCACAATCTTTCTCGGTAGGGTGTTATGTGGCATATAACCACAATGATGTCGAGAGATATTTGCAAAACTGCGGACCGCAAGTGTCTGCGGTGGGGAATGAACGCGCTATTACCCTTTCCGAGGGCTAACGCGCTCACCACCATGCCATGCGAGTCCTTCTTTTCGTCTTTCTCTCACCTATTTCCCTACCACAGACACCTGCGGTTCGGAGTATTGCAAATATCGCAGCATTATTGTGGTTCTATCATACATATACAGTATGTTCTACATCCCATTTTTACTACATCCGTACTTATTTGCCGTGACCGACTTTCTTTTATTGTACTTATTTGTTTTGTTTTTTTTGTGGGAGGGGAGGGGTTAATGGGGTTATGGGGTTAAGACAAAGGGAAAGCAAAGGTCTCGATTGGTGTGGTGTGTAGCATGCGGGAACCCGGTATTGTAATCGAAATCCAACGAATTTCCAAGTTTTGCTCGTATTGCAGCACCATTGTGTTTGTATTTTCCCTGATAGTTGGATAATTTACATTTGATTCGTTTCACCGGATATCCTTAATTTTTCGCCATTTACACTCCATGTTCAAATTTTCCTCGACCACGACCGACCTTACAATATTTGATGAACTGTTCTTAAACTATGCATTAAAATGCTAAAGGATTGAGGTCTCGGTGTTGATCAATCCCTGAGGGATGCGCCATCAATTAGACTTTATTAAGTATCGTTGGAGGTGGTTGAATGAATACCTGGCCTTTGCACTGACTCAGGGTAGCCTACCAATGTATCTACCCAGTGCTGCTGCTATCCTCCCAGACAAGTGTGGTATCGATTTACCGAGCGTGGAGGAATGCAGTGCTTAGTGGGTCTGGGGCGCGAGGATCGATCCCATGTCTCTTGCAGGGCGCCTCCGACCACTGCACTGTGCGCTCTCTAATTAAGCATTAATATTTTGAAGTGAAGTGTAGTATTACATTAGCTTTAATCTGTCCAAAAAGTTCAGTTGTGGCTAATGCTGAAAGAAGTTTACAATACACAATGAAAGACTAAGAAATCGAACGAAGTGGCATAAGGTTGCAGACAGCAGATTTTTATTTTTGCAATGATTGATAGAACCTTCACCATAATGACAGTTTGCTGTTCTGAACATATGTTGGCTCCAGCACTTCTGTTGCGTTGCACGTGTCATCCACAGGAATCGATTAAGTTCCCTTTTCCCTCTCTACTTTTCTTTTCTTTTTTTTTTATTTCTTCTTCTTCTCTTCTCTCTCATTTAAATATTGAATTCTGTGTTTGGTCAAGTACTATCTTCAAGTAAACAGTTACGATGCCAGAGCATTTCTGAAATTTTCATCTTAGGAAATCGAACATTTAGTTAGACCTAACTTTATATAATAATTACTTTTAGGTTATTTGCATCGATGAGCTCAAAACAGACTATAAGAATCCCATAGAGCAGTGCAGAAATCTTAATCAAGTATGTTTTTCGAGATATCTATTCACTTCTTCTCTTAAAATTCCAGCAGTGCTATTTTTGTCGTTTATATATACACATTGCTATTTGATCTAGGATTACTTACAGCAATACCGTCCCTTGTATTTTACGTTCTTACTCCTCGTTCTTGAACTTTGTGAAAAATTCGACGTGTTCATCTTCCGTAGATAGGCACAGTATAAAATGTAGGGGTACAGATTTTCTTCGATTTTGGCTTAGGCTTGATCAAGTTTCGATAATAGGGCTTTAACTGACTTTTTGCAGAAACCATTATGCTGATGTTTATTGTTAATTGTTAACATTGATATCTTACGCCTTAACAAGCCAACAGAAGGTTTTTGGTTCCACGCTTCAGTGCAAATTATTATTACCGTAGAATCCTGCTAGGTTAAACACATTAAGACATTCACGACCATGCCGATTTTTTGGTAATTTCTTGGTAACCATAAAGCTTGAGAAGTTAAAAACCAAACCAGTTTATCGAAAAGACATTGTGCTATCATTCTCATGGGCCTAGGTGCCCTCTCTTCACGAGCAGTACAAGCCTCAACACATTTTCCATCTGTCTTCCTTTTGTCTGTTATGGTTTTTTGGTTCAAACATTACGACATCTGTGAAATGATTCGCATGACCCTTGAACAGTCTCCATCTACAAATGTAGATTTTTGACATAGACCATAAACAGGTCGGCCTATCTTGTGGCTCCTTGTTCTAGGGGAAACTTACTTCTTGTTGGAGTCCACTTAGTTGTTCGTTTCGTCCATTTTTCATCTGGTATTCTCATAATATGACCAGCACATCTGTTTTCGCTATCAGCGTATACTTCTCTGATTTTCTGGAACTAATGGACCTGGAAACTAATGAGGAATCTAGTAGGTGCAGTACGTTTTCGTTGTCTTCAGCATCGCCGTAGTTTACGTACAATTTTGTGAGGACATGTGCTTCTGCAATGAAAGTGTCCAATCATAATCGTTTAAGAACGTTACCTTGATTTTAAATTCGTCATGAAAGTAGCGAAGTTAAAAGCCTAAGTTTTCGGTCATATATTACTCATATGGTCACAAATGTGTTGATTGGATTCGAATGTTCAGTTTCCTTTTCGGAAGCGGTTTTGTGTGCATATTCCTTAGCCGTCAAAACCATCGCAACATATCACTGATATATTCAACAGAACGAATGTTCTAAACTTAACCCGTTGATGGCATGATGACCTACAAATGAGTCGCACGTAGTCGGGTTTAGTGTGAGCATTTAAGATTGAAAAAGTAACAGTATTCGTCAAATCACCAGCCAACGAACTCGTGCGAGAAGGGCTTTTTTGTATATTTCCAAATACAAAATGGAACCTTCCTGGCCGACACCCGCCATAACATCTTGTGTTGGATGAGCTATCGAATGATTGCGAGAACTGCAAGAAAAGGCATGGTTCTGCGAGCCAAAGTAAACCATAAAAAAAGAAAATGGCCCCAATATAGCTCACACAGGCATTATCCGCCACGTCTACACACAATAGTGCCCATGTCTTCGCAAAGAGGTGCACGTGCATCCGGTCCTATAATGGTTTTTATTACCTGAATTGAAAATCGCTTGAACTTACATATGTTTGCCAAGCGCAAACAAAATTACGACCGACCTCTTTAATCATTACTGTGCTGATTTTTAACGTTTCGCTTGGTCAGTTATTGTTTAGAAGCTTGTGAAGTCACCACGTAGTTCATGAGAAATCTCGTTGCACTGAGAAAGGACGCTCTGAATGCTTAGAGCATCCGTAACCAATTTTGACTTACCTGAGTCCAAATCTTTCCTAGTTCTCTCAGGGTAAGACAAAGTGGCATCTTTAACGGTTTCGGGATATTTCAGGGAGTTTAGTTCTCGAAGTGACCCATTGTGCTGCAGTCGTTGAGATCTTACTCGTTCTGATAGCTGTTTTTCATCCACGCCTTGTTAAGTATAACTCGAGTAAAGGGTCCCAGACGAGAACGACAGCGAACAATTTGGGCAACATTTATAGGCTAGAGGTGGTCTTCTTGTTTATGCAACAATGCTGTCTTGCTGATTTTCGCCAACTCGAAATCCTGAATGCTGAAAAGTGGAAGGTAGAAATGTCGACACTGTGTATGAGCGAGCTAACGGTAGGTTTTTCAGATGTTCGCGCCTAATCTCACCCGGAAGTTAGGATTCTGTACTAAAGAAAGTGGAATCTTCCTCCTTGGAACTATGATAAAGGCAGATTAAAGTAACTTTTGAGGAGAACATGTTAGAATTCCAGAAAGACCTTTTCCATGGATTTTTTGATGGATTGGCTGTTCTTTCCTAACGTCGGAAGGTTATCATTTTGCTCCTGTAAGCTGCTAAGTTTTGGTGAATGTTCCGAATGTTTTTCCCGAATTTTACAGCTTTTGTCAAATTTGATTCTATTCTCTTCATAAGTTCCTCTTTTATTGCTTATCTACAATTAAGACAATAGTGAGAAATCATTCCAGTGCATATTTCCAAATTTTCTTCGTTTTGTTGAGTTTTCCGTTCGTCCCATCAATCTCCTTTTTCACTCAACGGTGATTAAGTGTAGTAGGAAGCCTCCCATCATCTCCATTTTTGGGATTTCTATTTTTCGATCCAAATGTTCCACAAAATTCTGTAATAACGTTATAACCAGTGTAACACTTGATAGGTTGTTTTTCTCATTTTCGGATGACCACTACTTCAGATTTCTTCCTTATTAGAGTTCCAGAACTATTCCAGTTTTAGAGAATGGGTGCTGATGCAGAACTACGATATTTACAAGTGTCTAGAATGGTCATCTCTTGTACTGATTCGCTATATTATAGTCATATAATCTCGATGGTGCTTTAGCGTTGGGAGCCGTCCAAACTCATAGTTCCTCACTGAAGTCGAGTGAACTATTTTTTATTCGGCTGACGTTTCGACGTCTTCGTCTTCATCGGTGCCGACGATCCTTGTCGATGGTTCACAGTTTCTCTTCTCGATGTTGCCTCTTCATCTTGCATCGAACCGAATCATCCTCAGTTGAGCATCTCGAATGAGCCGAACACACCGGTGCTTTATTTTATTTTTTTACACAGGGCAGTCATTGTTGATATGATTATCAGTTGATGATAATTTGTTTTCAACCGATGATCCACCTTCCAGCAGTCGGTATTTTGTTAGCTAGCACATGGTGAATAGCAAAGCAATAATTTCGTGTGTTCGGCTCATTCGAGAAACTCAACTGAGGAAGATCTGGTTTGATGCGACACGAAGACGCCACATCGAGAAGCGGAGCAACTGTGGACCATCGACAAGGAACGTCGGCTCTGATGAAGGCGAAAACGTCGAAACGTTAGCCGAATAAATATCTCGTATCATCCTCGTGTAAGTTCAACGATATAAACACACGTTGATTGTTATAGTGCCAAGGTTAAATGACGGTCGGTTTCAAAACTATTGTTGAACTATTTTTCATGTTTTTTTGGCTTAAGGTGCTTTATTTTATTAGTTCTCGTACCACCACATTAAACATGATAGGCTTTTAAGTGGGTTTCTTTCACGCCTGTAATTCATAAATTGAGCAATGGATTAGGTAAAATTTGTTTCTATTCCTGTCTTTATACATCAAATTAGGAATCAGTTTGAGAGCAGTTGGACGATTTCCTCTGTACATGTCTTATTACAGTCTTTCCAGAGAAAGCCTAAGACGTTTTGATTGAGGCTGACTTCAAACTGCCTTCCATTCATTTCACGGCCACTTAACTATAGGCTTTTGTAATAGTTCCCAGGATCGACTTTCTCTTAACCTCGGCATTGGAATATAGGCTTTTGGCCAAATAAGTGCAGATTACAATCTATGTATACTCATGTACACCGATGTTCACATACACGATTGTTTTCCACAAGGAAGGTATAGGTTAATACTACTGAACACCACAAACAAAAGTACATCGTGTGAATCGAATTGTTGCAAAACCAGTAACTAGTATCTTCGTGTATGCAAAATCTTCAACCCATGATTTATCAGTAAGAGACGCGCTACGTAGCCATGTGACAAGCGCATTAGACGACACTAGTTTACGTACTGATAAAATCTACAGACCTTCATGTGATGTAAGTATCCGTAGATTTTATCAGTATGTTGTGTGCTAAAGCGCTGTTATTCGTTGTTTTTCTTGCATTGCTCAAAGCGATTATTTCAGCTCATTCTGCCCGAATATGTGATTCAAATGTCCTACACGGTCCTATTCCTTCTAAGTTGGCAAATGTTTGCGATATTGATGAATCTACCGCTTGCAATTTATCACGTTGCTACGTGAGTACATCTTTTTTTCTTTTCTGGATACTTTGTTTATTAAATGTTTTCTTCGTTTTAAAGTACTAACCTTTGGATTGAGTCTGGATGTTTTACTCGTTCCGATTATGATTCCGCTAACCCTCAAATGACACAATTGCCAGCCAATGAGCAGTCGTTTGTTTCTTTCGCGCGTAAGTGTGGATCAGTGTCTCTATTTCGTACACACCTCTTTACGACAGTGATGATGTCGTTTTAAAGTGGTGAAATTGTATAACTAGTAAAGGATTCTTGTGTAGTGTGCAGGGAACTTCTGCAGTCCAGAGCTTTCATGATCATTTCTATATCAAGGCGGAAGTGCTTTTTTTGTCGACAAAATTTCCGCAAAATGGTCTCACTCTATTTCAGAAAGTTTGGTTATCGTATTAATATGAACTTCATGCTAAATCCCACATTGGCACCCTTCTTGTTTTTTGGCTGTGTTCGCTTCATTCCTTTTGGAGATAACTTGAATGAGTAACGTATAGACGATGGAGAATAAGGCAGACTAGGATAGTTACGAAAGTAATACGATCTCCCGACTTGTACAACCACAGGGATCGCTTGATCCTGCATTTGGAGCGAAACTTGCAGTTGACGGGTAATCTGTGATCGGAACCAACGTGTTGATAAAGAGTGAAGGTAGGTTTTTTTCATAAATTCCGGTATAATTTTATCTGGACCGAATTTGAACAGGATCTTCAATGACAAAAATGTTCCGTTGGAAGTGCCAGATGTCACCGCACATGTTAGCGAAAATACGAGTTGACTCCAATTTTTAATATGGGAAATAATAGTCGGAATCAGGTTTAAGCCAGAACGTTTTAGCTCTTAATTGCTGGTTGAAAAGAATATGGTAGAACCTACAAGTTTTTGACAGCTGGACACAAGTTTTCGCTTCTAAACAAAGTGAAATTCTGGTCTTTTGGATTCGAGGAGTATTATTTCTTCGCTTTTTCTCACGTCAGAACTTGTATTGCGAAGACGGATACACAAGGGAACAAGTGTAATTTTGTCCATTAGGTCACGGTATCGTTGTTTTCTGTTAGGGGCTCGTGCATGGGGAGTTTTAAAAATTTTAAGTTTATTTTCATTACAACGTTGCTGAGATATTTGCAAAACTCTGGACCGCAGGTGTCTATGGTGGGGAACGAACGCGCTATTGTCCTTTCCGGGGAGTAACGCGTTCACCACCACACCATGCGGGTCCTTCGTTTCGCCTGTCTCTCAGCTATTTCTATCGATCTTTTTGCCACAGCAATCACCCGTCA